TGCCATGATGAAATGGACTAAGCCTCTGAAACTTCAAGAAAGTCCCCAATTAAATGCTTTAAAAGTTGCCTTGGTCATAGTGTCTCTTCATAGCAACAGAAAAGTAACTAAGGAAAGTTTAATTTAAAAAAATGTGCCTGCATGTTTATTTGTGCACCATGTATGTGCCTGTTCCCCAAGGAGGCCAGAGGACACTGGATGCCCCAGGACTGGAGTTACAGATGGTTACGAACTGTCAAGTGCGTGTTGAAAATCCCACCCAGGTCGTCTGGAGGAGAAGCCAGTGCTCTGAACTCCTAAGCCAACTCTCTACCCCATTCAGTTTAATTTTTTTAATGCAATGTGATTTTTTTTCCTTTTATTTTGGAGAGGGTCTCATACTGTATACCTCTATCTTGGAACTTGATATTTAGATCAGGCTGACTTTGAACTCAAAGAGATCCACCTGCCTCTGTCACTAGAGTGCTGGGATTAAAGGAATGTGCTACCCATACCAAGCACAATGTGAAATTTTTTAAAAATATAAGATTTCTACACTTTTATGCAAGTAAGGTTTTGCTTCCATGTATGTCTGTGTACCATGTGCATGCCTAGTGCCCACCAAGGTAAGAAGCATTGGATACCCTGGAGCCAGAGTTATGTATGGTTGTTAGCTGCCATGTGGGTCCAGCTGCATGAAGAGGTGTTCCTAACTACCAAGCAACTTCTCCAGCCCCACACAATGTGAAATTTATATGACAATAAAAATCTAGCTGGGCAGTGGTGGTGCACACCTTTAATCTCAGCACTCAGGAGGCAGAGCCATGCGGATCTCTGTGAGTTCAAAGCCAGTCTGGTCTACAAGAGCTAGTTCCAGCTAGGGCTGTGACACAGAAACCTCGTCTCAAAAAACAAAACAGACAAGAAAAAAAAATCACAATTGGCTTACTCAACCCAGGTGGGCTGTGGACAACTGGGGACTCAATGGAAAGCATGCTCTAAGTCCCCAGGAATGGCAAGCAGTATGGCGCTGGTGCCGACGTACCAAGTCTCACCGGGCTTCATATTCTCAGAGCTCAGAAGCAGGCCCTTCTGTACATGAGAACTGGACAGAGGATAAAACTGGCACTACGAATTGATGGGGGGGGGATTACTAGGTGGTCTGCAGGAAATGCATTAGTATACAAAACTGACAAATGAGTGACAGAAGAGAAAATAAAGGTAAGCTTCATCTTCAAGGAGAAAGTTTGTGGTCTAGAATAGGAAGCATGTTAGAAGCAACCCCTGAAAACACCTAAATACTCTCACTCAACTCCAGCCCCATCCTTTGTGATCAGGTTTCATTATGTAGCTTAGGCTGGTCTCAAACTCATAATTCTCCTGCTTTGGCCTCCTGAGTGTGTGCTGCAATACTTGCTAAATTCAAGTATTAAAAACCAAGGATTTGCCGGGCGGTGGTGGCGCACACCTTTAATCCCAGCACTTGGGAGGCAGAGGCAGGCGGATCTCTGTGAGTTCGAGACCAGCCTGGTCTACAAGAGCTAGTTCCAGGACAGGCTCCAAAACCACAGAGAAACCCTGTCTCGAAAAACCAAAAAAAAAAAAAAAACAAAAAAACAAGGATTTCTGTTCAGTAAAGGACGCCATACACGAAACTAAAAGACAGGGAATGAATAAAATATGACATCTAAGACTGACAAGAGAATAGTATCTACAATGAAGACAAAACGTACAATTGACCAGATTGGCAAAGATGAGCAAGTAATTTCCAGAAAGAGAGACGACCTGCAGCTTTTGTTGTTTTGTTTTGCTGAGGTAATAAGGAATTAAGGGCGAACTAGGGTATCCACCTCTAGGGAATGAGTAGTTTAGAGTGGGATAGGATACACACTCAGGAAAAATGATGCAACAGACCTCAGAAGCACACGAGTACACAGAACAATGCAGACTAACCCAACAGATAAGGCAGGAGACATTTATAGCACAGCATCAATTGTATACATTAAGTCTGAGCGCGCGCAAAGCAATGCTACTGACCAAGATTTATGCACAAGGGAACATGTCAAAAAAGGGACAGGTGCTTATACGATGGGGCAGTACTGGGTGAGGGATGAAAGGACGGCAGGACAGAGTGCATAATCAGGGAAGAGAATGCTTTTGGACTGACACATTATAAGCCATAAATGCTTACATACAGTTTGGAACTGCAGCAGCCAACGGGCTATGAAGAAGGTCAGAGGCCAGCAGAGAGCAGGCTACCTGTGAAGAGGTGGGCTTCAGTGACCACTAGATAAAGCTTCACCTGCACCTGGTGGCTTCTGAAAGTCTGCTCAGCTACACAAGATTCCCCTTTCTTTCTAAATTAGGAGTTTCTGACACCTGCCATAAAAGCATTTTAGCCGGGTTTCTTCCATGCCTGGGTGCTAAGCAGTGATCAAGATTTTTGTAAGGTTATTACACTTCTGTCTCGGAGGGACAGGAAAGAGGAAGCATGCGCTGAGAAGCAGACAGAATGACTGCAGTAGCTGCCATTAGCATGTACTAGGCACTTGGCTAGGTGCTCTCCACGTCTAACCCAACCATTCTCACGGCGGGGCAGGGAGAACACATCTTCAGCCAGAGTTTCCTAGTGGAGCCATGTGAGCCCGTCTGTCTAATGACAACTTGTTCTCCCCTTCACATATGCCACCCTACCAGTAAAAACATTAGTGGGGAGGCAGTGAAGGCACACATGCCAGGACACAAGAGCGGTAAACACACACAGAAAAGGACAAGCTACGTCAAGGCACATGTGAATGACACACAAGTTTTTGAGATGACAAAACATACTAATATATATATATATACACACACACAGACACACACACAGACACCTAGACAAGAGGCAACTTTCATTGTACTTGGGAAAACACAGGGTTTCCCCTACTACTCTCTTTTTGATATCAAAACCAAACCAAACCAAAAATCATGCTATGTAGTGTTAATCTGATTTATACAGCCAGTCTTACCATGTTAGACAGTATTCCTACACTATTGCTGTAACGCTAGAAACATAGACACAAATCTCTACACACTCACTCCTAGAATATGTAAAAGCAAAGTACCTTTGTAGACAATTTGTTAAATCTGACTTGAAACTCCATCTTGGCCCTTTCCTAAGTCGCTTTCCATTTTGTTGCTTCCATGTTGTAAGATAAAACCCGCATAGTTTTTCTTCCTTTTGAGTCAGGGTCACACTATATAGTTCAGGCTGGCCTGAAACTATAGCTGTAGACCAAGATGGTCCCAAACTCAGCATCTTTAATCCTCTGTTGGTGTTAGAAGCTTACCCTAACACACTTATTTTTCCAGTCTAGTACTACTTCCTTCTATGTCTCCACCTGGTCTCCATTCAGGTCCACATGACAGAATTGGTCTAACCCACTTATTTCTTGCTCTCTAAACTATTAGCTTATTTGGAAACCCTTTAGTTCTTTGGATGACTTTCTTCATAAAGTTTTCTGAGTTTCATTTTTATATACAGAATAAATGATGAAACAAGATTATGCCAGAAACAATAGCACACAGCTGTAACCTAGCATTAAGGAGTTTGAGGTAGGCCGATTGCAAGTTCAAGGCTAGTGTAGGCCACAAAGAGAAACCATGCCAAAAAAAAAAAATTAGTGCATACGAATAATAGCAAAGCTATTACTTATTTATTGCTTTGTGGAAGACAGTGTGTCAAACCAACAATGGATTTTTTTAAAGCACATTTTATTTAGAGAGTGAGTGTGTGGGAATGCATGAATATGTAAAGGTCAGAGGATAACTTTCAGGAGGTTGGTTCTCACCTTTCATCATGTGGGCGAAGGATCACACTCGAGCTATTAGGCTTGGCAGCAGGCATCTTTACTCACTGAGCCACCTCGCTGACCCACTAACAGATCTTTTAAATACCTTGACTGATGACAATGGCATCTGTAGGGGCCCAGAGAGATGGCTCAGTGCCCAAGAGCACATTCATTCCTCTTCCAGAGGACCCAAATTCAACTTGCAGCACCTACATCACATGGCCCACAATTGCCTATAACTTTGGCTACAGAGGATACAATACTCATTTGGCCTTCATGGGCACTTACATGCACACTCATATACCCACAAGTGGACACACATACGTAAGCAAAAATAAACTCTTAGAATAATATGCAATGGTGCCTTTAATACATCAAAGTTATACACTGACAAAAGATGACGCCATTGAGTAATTATGTCAATTTTTCCTCTGTGTAACAATCCTGGCTGTTCTAGAACTTGCTTTGTAGACCAGGCTGCATTCACACTCAAGAGATCCACCTGCCTGCCTCCCGAGTGCTGCCAGCCACAACCGCCTGGCATGCCTAATTACTAACTCAGGTATTTTGGAGGTCTGGGGAGGCGTTAAGAAGTGCTTCCGAGGCCAACAGGATTAACAGGCAAGACACAGCTAATTGGTACTTCAAAGTCGCTGGTGCTATTTGAAATCTTAGAAGTCCTTTTCATCTTCAAGAAACCAAAAATGAAAACAAGCATTCAAACCACTATTCTTATTGGGGGGGGGGGGTGTCTATGTCCCTGTCTATTTTTTCTATGCGTTGTTACATATCATTCAACACACACCATGCTGTTGCCTACAGGAAGGACTCTCCCATCTGCCGTTCTCAGCTACCCAAATGGACATCTCGAGCACATCTATTTGCCCCTTCTTCCTGACTACCAATTCCTGACCTGTCCTTGGAGGTCCACCTAAAGCTTTCTCTACTCCTCGGAGTCTTCCCGTTGCTCTAAAACAGAACTCAAATGTCCATTGGCAAGGGAGCACATTTTTGTACACAAAGTTTGAATAATTCTTGACAACTGTATGTTGTCAAGTGATTGCAAACTGTTTAGGAACACAATGAGCAAGCTGTGCCCTTCCATTGCCCATGGTGCCCAGGTACAGTATAATACAGAGTCTCAACCCCTGCTGACGGTGGAGCATTTAAACCCAAATTAGCGTAGTAAAACAAGAGACATGGGAGTAATATTTACAGTCCTCTTTATTTAATACAACACACATATAACATATACAAAAGGAAAAAAAAACCCACTCATGTAAAAGGTCCTGTCACAAAGGATAGACAGGAAACATCTATTCTGAATCAAATAAGGCTCTTATTTCAAAATAGGTTTGCTAGTTACACTTGGAATATGAACAGGGCTGCTGCAAAGTAAGATGAACAGAGTCCCTGCACTGAAGGAGTGTATCATGGGCCAGGCCGGCAAGTTCACGTTTAGGAATGTTCTCGCATGTCCCAAATTCATCAGGGGTCTTATGAAATGTGCAGTTCTTTTGTTGCTGTTATTTTTTTAAACCTGCCTTTTTTTTTTTCTTAGAAAAGTTGAGTTCTAAAACCAGGAATCAGGGAAGGGTGGAAACTTTCGTACCCAAGTTTAAAGGGTGCCGGAACTAGATCAAGATCGCAACAGCAAGACGGCTGTGGAGAAGAGCTTAGATTCTACTTCCCATTTACTAGTACTGCGCAGACAGACTACTGGAAAGGCAGGATGGACATCCTCCTTGCTTAGTGCAGGGTCAACAGCAGCAGTTTGTCCATATTCCTGCTAAGCTTAACTAGAAATTCAACAAGCACCAATTTGTCTTAAAAGAGCCTTATGCACGCACACTCGCACATACAGACAAACACATACATGTCATCACCATCCCCTTTTATTAAATTTATTTATTTATTTACTAAAATAATACAAAAAAAGGGAGACAGGTATATTTACAAAACTCCATGGCTGGTACAGTACATAATTTTTAAGACACACTAAATGCTACAATCTTTCAGGTCCTGAGATTATTACAAATACCAACTCAAAGCTTGCATTCAGGTCCAGTTTTTAGAGGGAAAAAAAAGTCTCAAAGTATTAAGTCACACACTTATTTGAAATACAGCATATAATCCTTCAAGTTAGCAAAAAAAAAAAAAAAAAACAACCTTCCTAAGAGTAGATGCAACACAGTAATTGGGGCATCTCCCCTAAAGGACCATGGACTCCTCAGGCTCCTTTGTGGGAGACGGCTTGCAAACAAGATAGCATCTGTGCAGGGTGGAGCTGCCGAAAGGGGAGGGACTGTTTCCCTGGTGGGAGCAGCTCTGCAGAGTGGACATTCAGGAATAAATAACTGTTTTTCCTTCTGCTACTAAAGAAAAGTCTCCCCTTTCTAAATTTTAAAGAGGGTTGGAAATGTGTGTTTCAGCAGACTAAAATTCAGACTCTTGTTTTCCAGTTATAGCAAATAGGTCTGCAATCCATGGTAGTTCTTGCATTCATAAACAAACCTTGCTCACAGCAAAGAGAGAAAATACCCGACTCTTAGCCACCTTGGTTATACTTTATTTCATTATTTGGAGCACAAAATTTTCATCAGATAGAGATTTCTTTTCCTCTCCTTAAAGTTTGATACTGTTTAACAAGAGGAAGCTTGGGGAGGCTCAAATGAACACACTCTCCTCCAAGAATGGTTTAGTACTCCAATATTTTCTAGAATAAGACAGTTCTTCAATTTCAGTTGACAACAGGTCACTGCAAAGCTTGGTCTCTTCTCTGGTGCTAACTATGAATTAGAGGAGGCTGTGTGGGAGAAGGCCCTTGCTGAGCACATGTCAAAAAGGTATGTATAATCTATTATGAAGGCAGAGCTGAAACATCAAGAAAGCTGTTCCAAAGTTAGCTCAACTTTCTATTTAAAAGAAATACTTTTGCCAACTGATAAAAATTTATTTCCCTTTTTATGTTTCTAGCTAAAACTGGGCAAATCCTTGGTAATTTTGCCAGTGTGGGAGAAAAAATCAATTTTCTGAGAGGGTATAATGTTTCTGCAAACAGTAGAGGTAAGCAAGAAAGGAGGAAAGTCTATGGCTCTAAGTACAGAAAACACAATATGGTTGTGAACTTTTAAGCACAAGTTGTCACACAGGCAGACAATGGCTTCTCTTAGTTGTTGATTCCTAAATGTACTTTGAAGACAGATGGAGCCACTGACTTTCACATTCCCTCAGGGAAGCCATTTTATCTGACATCAGTCAGAGCTCTACCACCAAGCACTCACCAGTCAGACTCACGGTAAACCAGAATTAAGTAACTGTAGCAACGTGAGGGCAAATGATAGTTTTCCAAGGAACTTAAAACTGGGACTAAGGATTTAAAGGTCGGCTTGGCTCAGATAGACCTTAGCAAAAGAGCTCTGTTCTAGAGGAGGCATGGAAATAAGGCAGGCTGTTATGAGCCCTAATGAAGACTGTATTTCCTCTGATGAAACTTGAAAGGTACTGGTATTATGTAAAAATGAGACCTATTTATTGTTATTATGGACCTGGACCTCCAGGCTTTGCAAATGCTGGACAAGAGCTCTACCACTGAGCTACACCCTCAGCCTAGGAGATCTAATTTTTTTTTAATATAAATGAGAAGAGGAAAATATTCCAATCATCAGTAATCCCCAAGTTCTGGACTATATACAGAACCTTAATTGTACTACTGAGACTTCAAAATGTGTTCCTGACCAGTTTGGATAGCAGTGTTAAAGTATACAAAGTTTGAATACCAACTGCTATGAAATGGAAATACATAGGAAACACAGAGAAGCAGAATCATCACAACACAAGGGGATCACAAATAAACACCTTAAAGCAAATGGTACTAAGAGTGTGCATGAGAAAAGTGTCATTTAGCATCAGGTTGTTGAAGGCATTTCCACTAAACTCAAGATAACCTATGCTTGTGCCCTCTGCTAAGATGCAAACTATCCACTTATACTATCTTTGTGTTGGAGCACAAAGAGCAGACAGAAAAGTGGCGGGCAAGAGGATGTGGAAACAATCTGCCTTTCCTCCCTAGATCTAACCACAAGCAACTTATACTGTAGTGGAACAAGTGGCTAACTTAAGAGCTCAACACCAAAGGCAAGAATAAAGACCAAAAGAAACGAAGAACTCAACATTAATATTTGAAGCTCTTTTCAATCAGTCTTAGCCATCTTTTCAGCTCTGTCAACCAAACACTGAACTTCTCAACAACACACTGGGGACTTCATAAAAGCACAAACATGCTCCACGACACTAACTCCAGGTCTGCACAGGTAAAAGGGTCTTCAGCTAGCTTTTTATGTAAAGTTCACATTTTAGGACAGATGAACACAGACAATGCATCTATTTTAGACTGCTGTTATAATTCCCCAGAGGAAACACACACACATTCGACAAACCCCCTAAACCTTATTACTTTGGGTTGAAATCTTAACATTTTTTATTGAAGAAGGAACAAGAAGGAAATGCAGAAAATAAAGAGTATGTTTATCTGCATAGTTGATACTTAAAGGTTATGAACTAAGGCCTTATCTGGAGGAGAAAAAAAAATCAATAAAAATGCCAAAAGGGACTTTAGAAAAACAATAACAAACACCTAGGGCTTAGAGACTGACCAGGTCCAAGCCAGTTCTGGGGTCAGCCCAGATGTGCTAGCTGCTTAGGCCCAGTGCTTTCTCCTAACTCGCTTGAGCTGTAACTGTTCCTCGACACAATACCCGGGTCTCTCTGCTGTAATTTAAACTCCCTCACACTCACTCTCTCTTACACACTATTTAGCCCCAGCAAAAACTGCTGCATCCATTTGTTCCTTTGTTTTAAAGAGAAACGTTTTATGCACTAATAGAAGGTGAGATAAAATGATCTTAATCTCCTCCCGGGAGCTAGGGAAATCATGTTTCCTTCTACTCTGACCATCCCTACCTCTGTTCCTGGTAGGAAATAAATCCTGTCTTCTTTCTCCCATTTTCCTACAATCTGAGCAGCTGATAGCTCCGACTTGCTTATGGGCTGAAGAAGCATGAACTGCTAAGTTAAAAGTACACATAGCTCCCTCCCCCAGGGCAAAGCTGGATAAACCTACAGAAACAGGAGCAGTGTGTAGGGTCTGATTTACTGTTAGAAACGCAAAACCTTAGTTTCCACCACCAAGCAGGTACTACAAGTAAAGTAAATTCAGAAGGTGGAGGAGGGAGCTATAACCTGCCAGGATCGTTTATCTGTAAACCAGACTATCTTGAAAATATCACACGAGGTAATAATATCATAAAAGCTTAAAACAATCAATTGGTAGTTAAGAAACTTGGTGTCATCCCCTTTGATTTAACCTGAAACTAGTAATTCTACCACACTATAAATATGGTATGTTTAAATATCAAATATGCATCTAAATTAAAATTCCAATGATTTTTTTTAAACATAAAGACCATAGGGTGCTCTTTATATCCATTTTAAGGAAAACATTTGCTTTTCAACCTCTGCAGCAAGATAATACTATTAATTATATAGGATGTTCTAGAAAAACTCAAAATATTTTTGAAATAGTAAAGTCTCTGATATCCCTGGGAGGTAGGCAATTATTATTATACCCAATTGTCTCATGGGTAATCTGAGGCACAAAGGTTAAATGACATCCCCTAGATAAAGTTGTTTAGGAGTTAACACTCACTACTGATCCTGGCTGCCAGACAACAGTTCTGCTACCAGGAGCTTCTTTTTTTTAGCCACAAGTCTCCTTTTCCAATTAAAATTTTACTTACATGGGGTATTTTGTAGATATATTTGTACTGTTTACAGAGAATTGGTTCAATTTAGTCTTTTTCAACATGTCACATCTAAAATAAATAAATAAATCTTAGATTCTGGAAGTTATGTTATTTTGTTCAAGAAAGATATTTAAATAATCACAAAATCAGATCAAAATCTAATCATCTGGAAAATAAAGAGATTAAAAATCTCAAGTATGTTGCAGATTATAAGTGTTTTTTCACTATCTAAATTCTAAGCTTACTGAAGTTTTAAAAGGTATTCAGCTATATAATTTCTTAAAGATCATTTTCCAGAAGAAAACACCTTTTAATATTGACACGAGTGCTAACTTCCTTCAAAGTGTATTCAGATACCACTGCATGGTTCTAGCTCTAGCCACCCATGTGTTTGTCTGCATAGGGCACCATCTCAGATTGGCCCACAAGATGCTCTTATTATTCTGATGCTTCCTTACACACTACATCTGCCAAATTTGAAGGGTAGAGAGAAGTGGATTACATCCAGAAAAAGTCAACGAGTCCACCGAGTTTATTATGCTTGCAATAACCAACACATATATGCTATATATATATATTATCCTATACACACACACACACACACACACACACACACACTTATTAACTTCTACAGATATTCAGAAGGGGAAGCCAGCATCATGTGCAAAGACTACTTCCCAATCTGCCCATCTGAATCAACTCAAACCAATGGAACAAACAGGGCAGAAGTTCTGCAATGTCAAAAGGGCAGTGCTGAGAGAGATTGCCACGAACAGCTGTTCCTGGTTTTAGATACACACTGTGCATCTCGTACTTGTGTCCACACACACAAAGCAGAAGGAAGAATATTATAACATGATATGATCTTGGCAAGTCTGAGATTCTTTCTCCTGAATCCCTTGACTTAATCAGTATGTATTTGAGGGTGTCTGAAAAGTTTCAAAAGAGGGGAGAAAAACAAAGAAATAAAAGGCACTTAACAAAGACAAAGGCCTGAACTGAGCATGGTTTAGAGTATATAAGCATTTTTACCAGAGATAAGAAATTATTTACAAGGAGTTAAACTTTTCCCTTAAAACTTTATAAAATAAAATTGCATAACATGTTTGTGATCATTTATCTACTACTGTACTTTTTTTCTGCTTTGTTTTTACAAAACCAAAAGCACCCCCAAAGCAAAAACAAAAAGTCACACATGTACAACTAAAAGTCAAAGTGCCCCTTCAGAGAACATCAGGTCAGCAGAAGTACTCGTGCTGAAGCACAGGACAGTTCTCAAGTTTGGCCTGCAGTATAGACTTTTGTCATTCTTCTATTTTCAATTTGAAAAATTAAACAAAACAAAATCCAACAAACAAAGGAAACAAATTCAAAACCTAGATAATAATAACAATACAAGGACCAGTGTGCTTTTGTAGTACACTCCTAAAATAAAGTACCCTAGTTCTACACTGGGAGCAAAGACATGACAAAATCTCCTACAAACAGAGAAGTTAAAGTCAACCAACACAGGCAAATTCATTTCCAAATGTAGCAGCAAGTAGGACAGATAAGTTCTAGAGACGATCCCAAAGGACAGAGTTCTTATAACCAATGGCAGTTGCAATAACAGTAGAATTTTCATTTCAGAAAGTCTTGAGCCAAGTAGAGGTGGAAAGGGTTGTGGGAGAGGGCATCTGGAGGAGAGAGAATAGGAGTGCCTGCCCTTTCCATCTCTGCATAGTAAACAATTTAGATCTGCTTTGGGAAAAAATATCCTGGGTTAAGATCAGTTCCAATAAGCTGTTTCCAAGCAGGTGTCAAACCCACAGTTTTCAAACGGGTATATGCCCGGTTCTTCCCCCAGTGTTGGGACCCAAATAAGCCTTATTCAGCATCTATGATACAAAACAATATAATTTGGGCTAATAACATCCATCAAAGGGGTGGTGGGCATGAAAGAATGTGCTAATTAAATCTTCCTGATTTCTTCAAAGTATAAGGACTTTCTTACTATGGATTAAAACTTGGCTTCTTTCCCCCCAAATCTTTTCTCCAGATTGTTTTAAAATCATGATTTCCCACTCTGTTCTCAGAAGCATGAGAAGAATTATAATTTAACTTTAATAGAAATTATTGCTTGCATTTATTTTGGAGGCTCTCAATGAGCTTGACACTTTGCTTCCAAACAGTCTCCAACTGAGGTTCAGCACTGCTGTCCGAGGACAGCTCTGCTGACTGTTATTGCTTGTGAATACTGAGGATCACCTTGTATGTACAGTAACAGCTTATACATCAGTGAAGGCAATTTCAAATATAAGACAGTTGGAAACAAATAGCTTAATCTTCCTGAATCAAGTACCCCATGAGTGGGTTAAGTGTGCTGATTTACCTCTGCATTTGGATCTTGCTAATGCTCTTTAGCGATACACACTGCTCTACAGATATCCTTTCCAGTTATTCACCATTTTAAAAATAACATAATTTGACTTTAAGTGCAAAAATACAGTATGAGTCGCAAGTCTCTGTTAAAAAATAACCAACTTATACGCTTGTTTTTAGTAATAAAAACTGTAAAGACAGGTAACCATAAAGTATGGAGACCATTTTCAATGTTATGATATAGAAAGAAATGTATTTACATGTAGAAAGGACTCTCTCTGATTTATCTGTATAACACGAGAGGGTTGCTGAAGTAGGGATCTCTCAGCAGTCCTTAGGGAACCAAGACTGACAGGAACAGAATATACTTTACATCTTATATTCTTAGAGCCCAGGGCTTCAGGGAATTTTATAAAAAGACACAGGAAAAAGAATTACCAATCTTGTTTTCTAATGATGGCAAAGAACCATCAGAGCCTTCATATAGTATGGTTCAGAAGTGATGGATTTAAGAAACTACAATTATCATTATTGACTTTTAATAGCATTTGATTTATATGAATGGGTGTGTCTATGTAAACACACAAACACACAGGTATCAGCAGGAAGAGACTAAACGCACTGACTTCTCCTTTGTAGAGGAAGTGAAGCCAAAGGCCGCCTTCCTAAGCACACCTCCAGCACAGCAGCCCAGGCCGTATTAGCAGGCATGTCTGTAAAGAAGTCACCCGGTACTATAGTAAGCCAAGAGCTGAGCAAGTTCCTCTAAGAGACCTTTCAAATGAAACTGAGCATGCTAAGTTCAAGTCAAAGCTGTCTTCAACGTCCCTGTATCTTTCCAAAATATCTACTGGGCTCATGTAGCATCTGTATTTGTTTTACTGATAAACTAAATTACTATAGTCAAGAAATTATACCAATGATTTCTTTTCTTTTTTGAGACAGGGTCTCATTGTTAGCCCAGTTCAGATTAGCCTGGGACTCACTGACATATACTCCAAGCTGGCCTCAAACCTGAGATCCTCCTGCCTCAGCCTCCTGAGTATTGGGATTACAAGCACTGGGCAGCACACCAAGCTTCAATGGTTCTTCTGAACAATCATTTTCCCTTACTGTAACAAGTTCTTGGAACTAAAGTTTTAAATTATTTATTCATCGACTTTTGGCTATGAAGCATGCCAATGCGACTTAAGTCAAATTATAGGCATTAAAAATCCGAGTAGATCTGTGGTTGGTTATTATAGTCCTAGATGCTTCTTGGGACTTCTGCTTATTAAAGGAAAATTGGGCCTGGTTAACACTCTTAATCTGTATAAACTTAATCGTACATGGTAACATGTAATGAGAATATAAAAGCAACCTTGTTATTACCAGGCTAGTCTGTCATCATATATAAACGAATCTGTCATCATATATAGACTAAAGTTACATCACTTAGAGCTACTCTTAGACAGTTTGAAAACACTTAGAAGTTTAAAATTCAGGGGACACCACAATGTAATTGAGGCAAAAATAAGTTTCCAAATAGAATTGTATGTTTTCCCCTTTACACCCTTCATTGTCTCTATTCACATACAGAAACCAGAATTAAAGAATCTTAATTATCTGTAGGTTTACTTGAATATCAGCATTCAAAGTAAATTCTAGTAAAACTTTAAGATTCCAAATGCTTGAAACATTTTTACTGCACTGGATATAGGGCATAAAGTCTCACTGTGATAGAAATAAAAGGTGATCCCTTGTGCACATCAGTACTCTTACTGGGGTTCGTCCCTTTAAAACAGTGTACTATTATGTATATGCTATTTAGCTGGCCCACAAAGAAACAGATGCTGTGCACACTGTTTATATCAACAGCTCTAATCACCTAAAGTACCACTAGTAAAGAGCACTGTACAGTGAGGGAACTGGGCGTCTGCAGTTCTTGGCAGGCTACAAAGGAGATGAGCAGCAAAGCAGCAGCCCAACAGCAAAGACCCCATGATCAAGAGGAAATGTGAGCACTCACTTCTGCGCACCAGCAGTAGAAATAAATACTAACCAGTCCAGACCGGACGACAGTCAGCTGCACAGAGGAGTTCAGTACCTACTCTGGAAGGAGGATGAAATAGACCCTTTCACAAAAAGGGTCTACATTTTGTCTGTTAAGAGCAACAGGCTCACTTTCCTTACTTTAAAAATCTAGAAGATATAGTAATATATATCGCTGTGCTACAGCAACTTTGCTGAAGCATTTTCAGTCTACTGACTTACACTGTGAACTGCTACATACTGGAGAAGATTCAAGTTTGCTCAGGACATTTGAGGGTACAGTACTCTTGGGCTACTGTCTGGAGAGCATCATGCAACTGACTGTAGCAAATCTGTCCACTACATAGCCATGACTGATTCTCCTCAAACTGGGTTAATTCTGCTTTTTAGTTGCTTTTATTATGCACTTTTATGTAGAGTGTTCAGATCCAACCCCCAGGATGGATGGCCATTTACCCAAATCCTCTCAACTTCCTTCTTTCTCCCCCCAGGGTAAAAAAAAAAAAAAATCAAATTGATACTTCTGTGGGTTTGACAGCTGAGTCTCTTTTAAAGTTCCTATGGGAACTTTAAGAGACCAAAGGTCACTAACTTTCCACAAAAGCACTTCTTCCTCCTGCACCTGGCTTTGCTCAAGTAACATTTTCTTTCCTTTTCCTCCTCACCACAGTGCTTGGGACAAGAATGTAAACATCGACAGAAACAGCAGCCCTGTGACCACATAAGACTTTCCCATCAGGTAGGTCCCATCAGCCAGTCAAATGATTCCTCTCTTGATTGCTGGGAAGTCACTGAGATTTCCGTGGTAACTTAGTGTCCCCTTTACTTTGGCCTCCATCTGAGAAAATAAACAAATTGATATGGTTTGGCATATTGTAAAAAAGAAAAAAAGGAAAAAGAAAAAGCAGAAGAATCAGTTTATTGTGAATTACATTTCTAAAAAGATAACCTTTATCTCACATGATGATGGCATTATAGAAGTTGATTACACATACGATGTAGAAACTCAGTGACTGAAAACTATATAAAAACTATTCCAGCAGGTGTTTACCATTTATTTACCTCATAACCTTGTCCAATGCTGGATTACAGAGAAACCAGATCACACAATGCCCATCTTCAAGGGACCTACCACATCTTTTGATTTCTTTGGAAGCCTAGGTCAATTTTATTTTCTTGTAAGTGAAATTGAAGTTATTTGCCATAATAACATGACATCTGGTAATTCCCAAGCATTGTGAACATATCACATTGGTAGTAAAGAAAGTCCAGCTACGTCTGTGCAGGTCCTAGCCTTGAGGTACAGGATGTGAGACTGCTGCTGGGGCTGGGCGGCTTAGTTTCCATATCTACTAATGCTACTGTCCTTCACTGTGGACAGAAAATGTGGACCCACTCCATGTGATCCTTCTAAAATAACTGGTAGGAGAGAAAAAGGGGTTACCCAGGCAAGAGTAGGACCCATTGACCCAGAGAGCCAACAGAATAGAAAGTCTCCATAAGTGCAGAACCCTAGTAAGGAAAAGAAAGACTCAATGACAAGCCAGGCCTGAGAGATAACAACATGGGAAGGAAACTCTTCAAAGGAAGAGGAATGAGTAGGGATCATAAGTCACATGGCCAGATTCATTCATATCCAAGAATCTTAGAAAACATTTAAAAAAAAATTAAAACACTGTCCTTAGAAGAAAAACTATATCAATGTTAGTGATTATTATAAAATAACTTTGGTTAATTGTTGAATAAAACAATTCTATCAACTAGACTGAAATTCTTTAAACGAGTGTTTAGTGTAGCATGGCCCATGGCAAAATCTGGCCCATCATCTGTTTTTGTTAATAGAGTTTTATTGGAATCCAGCTTTACTTGCTTGTTTATAAATTATTTGTGGCTATTTTACATGACAATGATTTAAGTAGTTGTTAAAAAAAAAGACTAAATGACTTTAACAACTGCAGACCACAAATATTTATTATTTGTGCCACTCACGCTTGGTGGCACACAGCACATAGTGAGTTCAAGGCAAGAATGATCTATAAAGCAAGTTCCCAGGCAGCCAAGTCTACACAGAGAGACCCTGTCTCTGAAAACAAAAGCAAAGACAACCTTTTTTGACCTCTGTTTACCAGCTGAGACTCTTTCAATCAGTTACTGTTATTAGATCCCATAGGACAGCTATTGAGACACCTTCTTTATCTTCAGTGTGGGGTGAGAGAAGTGATGGTGAAGTTTTTCAGACTGGCAGCTCTACAACTGGAAATCCAAAAAGTTTTAAGGCCTCACATCCAATTTTTTTTTTTTTAAATTTTTCGAGACAGGGTTTCTCCGTAGCCTTTGGTTCCTGTCCTGGAACTAGCTCTTGTAGACCAGGCTGGTCTCGAACTCACAGAGATCCGCCTGCCTCTGCCTCCCGAGTGCTGGGATTAAAGGCGTGCGCCACTACCGCCCGGCTTACATCCAATTTTTTAAATGAAGAGTTTTAAACATTAAACTTCAGTTATTTGGAAAATACTCATCTTTTTCTTGTGCTGGGAGAGTAGGGTTGACCAAATATGAGATAGCTCCCATAGAGATGGAACCATCAAGAATTCTGGTTGTCTACTTCCTTGTAGGCGGTCACATTCATGACAATCATCAAGAGCTCCTGTCCCCAACTGGATCCCAGAACAGGAATATATTCAAGCCCAATCAAGAGCAGGAAGGTCAGATGGGGTTTATGTTCCTTTTCTCAAGAATGAGTCTTGGGCAGCTGATCACAGGAATGACCATGAAATTGATGATAGCCTATTGCCTCCAGACTGATGCACAGCTCCAATTTCTGCCCTATGCCCAAGAGTAAACTAGTGTAAAGACAGTTTTAGTTTTGTTTTCACTTGTATGGGTATTTTGCCTGTATGTATGTGCCTGGTGTCCATGAAGGCCAAAAGAGGGCATAATATCCCCTAAAGTCACAGATGGCTATGAGATGCCACGTAGATGCTGGGAACTGAACTGTAAGAGCATTAAATGATTTTAACTGCTATGACTTGAGTATGACTTCAAAACACCTTGTATGTGTGCATGTATGTGTGGGCACACATACCAGAGTGTTCATGTGAAGAGGATACTTTTGTGGAATTGGTCCCTTTACCTTTTTTTGTGGTTTCTGGGGACAAAACTCAAGGACTTTAACCTGCTGAACCTTCTTGTCAACATCTAGGACTTTGGATAATTATTTTATGAATTCTTGATTAGGCAACACGTCTATATAATAAAATTCTTTCCCCATGTGTCTAATAGATCTCATTTATCCTTTTTTCTTAAGAAAAAAGTGTCTGTTGCCACTGAGGATCCAGGTAAATGAAAACCCCCAATGTTTTGACATTTTATTCACACTGTTTGAAGAAACTTTAATCAGCATCTATACTCAGTTATACACAATAGGAACAAGCAGCTTGCTTACCATTAAATGCTTGCTGTAAGTGTGTAGGCAGAGGTGAGTGGGAAAGTGTTGCTGCATGCTGAGTTCCCGGCTGTAAACTCTTTAGTAAATCTGAGAGGGAAACAGACTTGTCAGTTATCTTTACATGTGGGCCCCCTTAACTCAAACTCAGTAAGACTCTGTCTTCTCTAATGCCGGCCTGAGCCCCAGCTCCAGAGTTTTCTAACACTACAGCACACGCATGTGAAGAGTACAGCCATGACTATGCTAAGAAATCCCCCATGTTGACTTTCTTCTACATACTTTATAACAGAAATGTGGGTGGACGGTCCATTAGTTCATTTGAAACAGAGCCCCACTTACTCTGAGTTAGGCTGTGATGGAAAGCGGCTGAGGTAGATCCCGAGGTGGTTGTCACTCCAGCTGTGTCCGTTCCAAAGCCAAGTAGCTCCAAGGGAAACTGGAAGGGCATGGTCACTGGAACAAGGCCACCCAGCATCCCAAAAGGAGTCACAGTTTGATTTGTTACAGACAAAGGTGATGTCATGAGAGTCAGAGGTGAGGCATTAGCCAATAATGATGCTCCTGTTGTGGACTGTGTAGAAACCAGGGGTCAAAATAGATAAGAAATAAAGCATTGCACCTAAGCTGATTTAACACCTTCATGGATGTAAGACTGTGTCTTTATCTGTTCTAACAAATGAGAGAAAAATTAAGACTGAAGTGAAAAATATAATCCAGAGAGTTACTAATAATGCTTCTGAAAATCTGCAAACAACATTTGAAAACTTTTGTATGTACAGTTCTTGTATTAGCATTGTAGTTTGCTTCTTAGCTGTTCAATGCCCATTCTTGCTTGTAAGCCTCAATCTTCCTTTCTCTACTTCTCCTTCCAAAACTACAGATATGAATCACAAGGAGTAATTCGAGTCAATGTCCTGGGACTCCGCAGACTCTTTCCTGGCCCAAGGCCTACAGCTGCTGCTCCCATCTACTGTGCTTTCGTCACGGCACCTGACACAGATGAGGACCCCTGAGCACTCCTCATCCTTGGTCTTACCTGTGCTTCCCCAGAGCTGCACACTTCTCAACCTATACCACAAAGGGCGCCAACTGAAGCCTCCCACAACATTCTTTCTCCCTCTTTCTACAACTCCACTGTTATTTCTGCATCTTTTCCATCTCCCAGTCATAATCTAATCTTATTTGTAATCCTTTTCAAAAATCAATACTGAATGACAACCTTCATTTTCCACACTATCTCTCCAGAACCACTAAAACTGGTTTTCATTACATCACTTTTCTGAAATCAGACTTTCAAAGTATAAAGCATTTTCTCATTTCTTTATGTGAGTTTTGAGGTCCTGAATGATGAATCAGAAATCTGCTAATGTCGATGTGCTTCTATGGGAAACTAGTTAAGTACACTCAAATAAATATATTTGAGCTAATTCAGTATTTCCAATGGCTTTCTATGCGACAAGATTTTTTTCCACTTCTGCTATTTCTTCATGATGGGCACTTATCATCAACATTTATGTACACACTCAACTTTCTCAGACGCAAACATTACATACTACTGTCCTGCCACTGTAGTTTTCTTTTGTAGACTACAATGCTTCCTCAGCTAAAAAATTGATAGTTTCAACTGTGGTCAATAAAACAGAATTTTATTTCCTTTTTTTTTTTTTTAAATTTAGAAACTAGAGATGGTCAGTGGAGGTGTCACATGCCTTTAATTCCAGCACTTGGGAGGCAGAGGCAGGCAGCTTTCTTTGAGTTCAAGGCCAGCCTGGTCTACATAGCAAGTTTCAGGCCAGGTAGAATTTCCAAAAAGCCTTGTCGTTCTTTTCTTCTTTCTTTTTTAAAGATTTATTTATTTATTATATTTATTGTATTTATTATACCCAGTGTTCTGCCTGCACACCAGGAGTGGGAATCAGATTTCATTATAGATGGTTGTGAGCTGCCATGTGGTTGCTGGGAATTAAGTTAGGATCTTTGGAAGAGTAGCCAGTACTCTTAACCTCTGGGCCATCTCTCTAGCCTCAAAAAGCTTTTTTCTTAAGTTAACGATACATATTAGATATTGTTGGTTTGTGTGCTATTTCTACCAAAAACATCATTAATTAAAGGTTGATGTTTTATTTTTCAAACAGCATTTCATTATGTATCTCAGGCTGGCTTGGAACTCATTACGTAACATAAAAAAAAAAAAACCAAAACCTTGAAATCCGAGTATCCCAGCCTCAGCCTCTTAACTACGATGATTACAGGCATGTCTCAGATACCACCACACATGGGAAAAGCTAAAGGTTTTATTTCGTAACATGTAAGAAAATATATGGAACTTTCCCATACATATGTGGCACCTCAAGGTTAACACCACTGCTGAACAAAAAGTGAGGTCACTCTCAAGAAGTCATCTTATTTAAGTTCCACAACTTCATTTCTCCACTTTGCACATCTCCTGTGTTATTATAAGCTCAGTTCTGACCTGTCACCTCAACTTTAATCCTGTGAACCAGAGTTTAGTGAGTATCACCACATGGGTTTCTAACACTCAGCTAGCCTGAGCTGTCCAAACTGGACTCACCTGGTCCCCACCCTCCACTGTCTTGCCATCAGCAAGCACTTCTTTTTCCAGGAGTTTGGGACATCAACCTTAGTCTGCAGGCCTCATAAACTAAAGGAGTTTCTTCTTCACCCAACCTTCTCTTTCCACCCAAGCAGTAATCCTCAACACTTGTTACAGACACCTTGAAGAGTGGCCAGCCCTTCTCTCTACTATACCTCTTATGATACACAGTGGGTACATTTAAGAAAAAATATCCAGTTACAAACACTACTGTCTTAAAGTGACCAGGATAAAAAGGATCCCGTATCAATTTAAAAGTAAGCAAGAATGCGGGTTTGAGATATGGCTCAGTGGCTAGGGGCACTGGCTGTTCTTCCAGAGGTCCTGGATTCAATTTCTACAACCACATGGTGTGGTGGTGGCTCACAACCATCTCTAGTGTGATCTGATGCCCTCTTCTGGCATAAAGTCAACAGAGCACTCATATACATTAAATAAATAAATAAATCTTAAAAAAAAAAAAAGGTAAGCAAGAGCTTGAGAGATGGTTAAGAGCACTGACTGCTCTTCCAGAGGTCCTGAGTTCAATTCCCAGGAACCATCTGGTGCCCTCTTCTGGACTACAGACATACATAGAGGCAGAACACTGAATACATAATAAAAAAAAGTTTAAAAAGTAAGCAAGTATGGTTCCTTCATTTTAGACATAAGTCTATTGTAGTCAAGATAATCTCCAAGGTTGTGCCCCAAATTTTCTCTCAGTGAAAAACAGTAAATAACGCAAATGATTGAACCTTTTAAAGCCTTTCTCCAAGAGTCTAACTGAAGCATTACAACAGATAGAGAACATAAATTAGGACAAATTCCAAATTTTAAAAATAATTTGAATACCAGCAATTAAAAAATATTCTATAACTCATATTTTATACTTTTTAAGAATTTTTCAAACCTAATTTTGTTTATGACTAAGTTAGAATTACCAAGTGACCTCAATGTTACACTGACATTTAAGCGTTTAGGCACTTTCAGAAGTAGAAAATCCCACTTTTATAATATCTGGGCGCATAGAAAGGCTGTCAACATTGGCTAGATAAGCAGACTATATATATAGTGTCCATAATCAGACATGTTTTTTATGAATGGAAACTGCTTTCCTCAGGTAGGCACCTGATCCTATAAAGCTGTTTGGTGAGACAGCTGTTTCCTATTCACCTAGAATAATATTCTGATATGTAGCCAGACTGTTCTTCTGGTTAAAACCTTCCAACAGGTTCCCTTCTTCACAAAATAAACCTCAAATCCTTACTGTCCCTTATCAGGCCCCCTTGACCTAGTGTAGGTTTATCCTCATAGTTAGGTCACACACACACGGGCTTTCATCTCAGGCTCTTTTTATATTAATCTCAGCATTTTTATATTGCTGTTTCCTCTAGCTCATACCAATTTCCTGTCTTCTTTATGCATGGCTATGCCCTGTTATTTCAACTCTCAGCTCAAATAAAATAGTATTTCCTTTCATAGGTCTTCTATAGTCCCTTATGTTATCAACAATCAATTTTTAACATTTTTTTCATAGCACATGCTTCTTTCTTTTTAAAATAAAACTGATATTTAGCTTATCTAGAATATATGCTCCACAAGAGCAGATGTAGTATGTTATTCACCCTGGTTCCCCAGCACATAGAACAGAGCCTGGCACATGGCACTCAATTTGCTCACTGAATGATGGCTTTTAGAGTCATAAAGTAACAAATACAAAGTAAGTTGAAGCGCAATAAAGAGGAAGACCGTTCTGTAAGGAAAGTAGACAGAGCTTGGACTTAGGAATATTTTCACTCTCAGCCTTTGTTAAACGACCCATCTTTTCCACTGTGCTGTGGCTAGCACTGCAGATCCCTTGTAGACAGGAAATGCAGGCTTCACAAGACCGGATACCAAATGTACTCCCCTCATGAAGGAACATCGCTTTAAGCACCTGTGTTTAATAACACCCGGAGGCCACAAACAGCTGAGAAGGCTTCAGAGCTGCTATGTCATATGAAAACAACTACCAGTGGCAGAGGCGACGTGACATTAATCAACTGTTGACTTTTTCTTTAGTCAAACCAGTAAGACAGAAAAACAGACCAAAGAAAGCAGGAATCTTGGGGTTTCCAAGTCATACAGTGACCCAAGAGTGGTAGAGTACCGGGAAGGAACTTGTCAGGAACATGCATTTTTGTCATGCAGCTTTCTTGCTGACAGATCAACTATTCTTAAGACAGTGAATGGCTTCTTTTAGGATAAATGATAATCAAATACAAGATGGTCAGGTAGATTTTAGAGATGAAAAAAGGTGAAGGACAATTTAACCAGACCCTTGAAGGCAATGACATAAAAAACCGACACAAAGCCAATTTTTAAGTATAGAAAACTCCCTTACCATTTTATAAGAAAGTAAATGAAGTCATAACTCTGACAATGAAACAAATACTTATGTCATGGAAGATTTAACCAAAATCTGATTACTATTTCAGCAAAATGGTACAGCTAAGAAGAACTGTAATTCTTATTTTCATAATGAAAATGACAAGGTAACATAATGGTAACATTCATGAAATTAAGAGTTTATCATTCATTTCTTCATTCTTTTTTGAGACAGGGTCTCCCTATGTAGTCCTGACTGGTTGGGAACTCACTATGAAGATAAAGTTAGACTCAAACTCACAGAGATCCACCTGTTTCTGCCTGGTATTGAAGGTAAGCCAGACCATACCTGGTTGTTATTATACGGTGGTGCATGTTTATAACCCCAGTAGTGGCCTTGTCAAAAGTCTTGTCTCAGAAAGAACAAAAGTATGGATAAGCCGGGCGGTGGTGGCGCACGCCTTTAATCCCAGCACTCGGGAGGCAGAGGCAGGAGGATCTCTGTGAGTTTGAGGCCAGCCTGGTCTACAAGAGCTAGTTCCAGGACAGGCTCCAAAACCACAGAGAAACCCTGTTTCGAAAAACCAAAAGTATGGATAATAAGGAGGTATGGGGCCAGGAACTATCACTTTTTTTTAGAATTCCATTTCTTTTTTCCTTTGACCAAATTAAAGGTTAATTTTAGAAAGAATTGCTGTTTTAGCAAGTCTGAACATTAGTAAAGACTAATTCACAAATTATCTATGAGGAACAAGTGTAACCAACAACCCCCACTATCAGCATTTGAGCTTCGCTGTTCACCTCTCCCCCTTTGTCTTTCCCGCTCTCTTTGAGATACGGTTGGTATCTTGCCTAGGTTGGTCTTAAACTTACGGGCTCAAGTGATCGTCCTGACTCCTGGGCTAGGATGCAGATGACGAACACTCACTCAGCTTTATTTCCTTATTATGAAAAGATGTTTAAGAGACTAAACATCCATATGTGTAGTAAACTGAACTTGTTCTACATTAGTATGCAATCCTGAACCCATGTGAGTACAAGAATGATAACTTGGTATTATCAAGTGTATTCAACACCAAGTCTTACACTATACTAAACTGCATGAAGCCCCTACAAATAGTAAGGGGAAAGCTTTTCATTAAATTCCTAATGCACAAAAACTGGAGCAGCATGAAGTTAAAGCATTGCTGTAGACAGCTCATTTCCCAAACCAGAGTCATGTTCTTAAAGACTTAGGACCTAAGCGCTTGTATATCATAAATATATATTTATAACATGACATTGTATAAGACAGTTTTTTTTGAGAACAGCCTTAAAATACCCTACATATGAAACGTGGTGGGCATAGGTGGTTTTAATTTTGTCTCTAAATTTGCTCACAGTGACAATGTATTACTTCCAGGAGGAAAAAAAAATCACACATCATTAATGTGAAGAATTAAATCTTTGAAAGCCTCAAAATATAGTGAAGGTAGAGAAATGAACACAATACAAGATGGCATAGAAGTTAGAGCCAAAAAAATAGATGAACAACAAATTAGATGTGCTAGTCCAAGGCTGCCACCCAGCAGCTTATGCTGCAGTAGCCTGGGCGGCAGAGTGAGACCCTCTTTTTAAAAAGAACAAAGTTCTCAGAATAACCTAAGTGGGGTGTGGCAGCACATGCCAGGAATCTCCGTTTCAGGGACAGGTAGGGGTACAGCAGGTCTGGGCCAGTCTGATCTATATACAAATGTCCATTGTCTAAGCAAAGCATTGGATCAGAAACAATTACCAAACATAAAATAATACAGTCTTTGCTTTTTTTTTTTTAAAAAAAAAAACTTCTTAAAATGACATTTTTTCTTGAGTTGGGAGAACTATGTTACCATGTATGTGCGCATAGGTCAGAGGATGACTTTCAGGAATCTGTTCTCCTTCTACTGCCTGAGTTTCCAGGGATCAAACTCAAATCATTAGGCCTGGCAGCAGGCACTGTTACCCATTCAACCATCTCGCTGGCCAAGAATAAGATATTCTTGAGCTGAAAAAATAGCCAGGTCTGAGGCTCACTATGTTCTAAGTACGAAAATTAATGAAAACTAGATAAACATAGCTATAGTCTAAGAATACTGGGGTTTAAAGGTAAATTTTCTAGCTATTTCAGCAGACAAAACACATTATTTACATGGAGAATAAAATAATCCTAAACACTAAGCAATGAATTTGAAGTGCAAGTCTCCCATCGTGTAAGTGTTACAACACAGAAAGGAGAGATTAAGTCTGAGAGAGCAATGGTGAAGTAAATACCATCTATGCCTCTTCTAGCAAAGACCTTGGCTAACAGAGAGAGGCATGTTTACACTAAAACTTGACAAACCATTGGGAAACCATGGTATGCAGGTATTCCAACATTAAGTGGACAGAATTATACATGTATAACTAAAAAGTTAATGTAACATAAAAATTTGGAGAGGATAAAATTTTAAAGAAAAGACAAATGTATAAATCTGATTAAATAAACAACAACAACAAAAAATCTGGATCAATGGTTAAGAGCACTTGTTCTTTCAGAGGACCAGAGGTTGCTTCCTAGCACTCAAGCCAGGGCTGACACCTGCCTGTTAACTCCAGATCCAGGGATCAGTCGCCCTCTCTGGCCTTCTTAAGCATTACACCCAACATCATGCCCCCATACACATTTATAAAGACAGAAGAAAAGGGAGGGAGATAACTGAGTATGTTTAAATTTCTGCACTAATACTTTTTGTTCTTGCTTTAAGTAAAAGATAGAGATTGCGAAGATTTTTTACCCTCAACAGGGTATCATACAGCCTATATATACCGGCCTCAAACTTGACTGCGGAACCAAGGGTAACTCTGAACTTCTGGTCATTAGGCCTCTACCTCTCAAGAGTTGGAATTGTAGGAGTGTGCCAGCATGTCTGGCTAAGAGAAAGTTTTAAATATAAACTCAAGTTCTGTTTTCCAAAACAAACGTTAAGGTAAATCTGAGTCTTTTCCTGATATTGGGGACTGAACCTGGGGTTTCACACGTGTTATAAAGACACTGAGCTAACAACCCCAAGTTCCCATCCTACCTTCTAAAGTTTTTATTTTTAGCAAGACTTTGTTGTGCAGCCCAGGTTAGCTTAGAATTCCCTGTATATAGCCCAGGCTGGCCTTCAACTTGAGTTCTTCCTGCTTCACCCTTCTGTGTGCTAGGATTACAGGTATATGGCACCATACACAAAGATTAATGATACTTGGTTGAAAAAAATAAAAAACACACATCCCAACAAAAACCTCACCCAGCACTATGATGTCAACACTGAGAACAATCCATGGCCATAGCTGTTATCAGCCTAGCATAAGCACATTCTATACATTGTGTATGTCATATGGGAAGTCATTAAGGTGACTTAGGAAGCTTGCTCAATCTTACATTTATCACATGAATGCACATCACATACATACCTGCACACTGGCTGTTACCACTGAAGACCCTGAGGCAGAGGTTGGTCTATGTGGAGTAGACAACGGTTTAGTAGCACCCTGTGTTCCACTTCCTGTTCCCCCAGATAGACTAGTCCTATTAGCTCCACTTGAGTTAAGGTTGCTACCTCTGCTGGCAGGTACATTCATTGGAATTCCGCTCAAGCTGTTCTTCCCAACAGTTCCAGTGGATGATGAGTTTGTTAATTTAGAAGGGGTCTGAAGAGTTTTTGTAGATGGAAGGCCAGAAGTGCGATTTGAGGGCAACAAATTCAGAGTGGGAGACTGTCTGCTGATGTTCATTCCACTGGGCTGTTTATGGACGGGGTTGTTAGTTGAGGGATGGCTACTCTGGGCTACTAGTGTGTTTGGACTGGAAGAAGTCGGGCATACAGCAGGCTTGGGAGCTGGGTTGGATTTAGAAATAAGTTTAGTTGATACTGAAGGCTTAGCTGACAGAGAGGGCTTGGGTGAGGCAGAAGGCTTAGGTGAGGACAAAGGTTTGGGGGATGTGGCAGGTTTGGGAGATGCAGCAAGTTTGGGAGATGCAGCCATTGAGAAGGGAGATTTGAAACCCTGGGTGGAGATTTGTGACACCATAGCCTTGGCTAAATAATTACTGGAGGTAGTGGTGCTCGGTGCTGTCCTAGAAACCAGGGGGTGGGGCCCCTGAGACCCATTTCCAGGTGATGGGGTAGACAAAGGGAGGCGATGATACATCAGTGGCTTATCTGAAGTCTTGAGTAGTTGGGACGAACAGGAAAGCTGGGGGTTATTACTTAATTTCACCACTGGGTTGGTCTGTGATTTACTAATGGTGGCTTGTAATGGAGACACATAGTTCTGCTGGACAGCTGAGTGCTGGTGCACCTTTGTTGCTTGTGTTAACGGAGAAGCATCTTGGGCCTCTGATGTTCCCAGAGCATGAGAGGAGGCAGCAACTTGGGCTTGAGAGGAGGAGACATGAGTCTGAGAAGAGGACGAAGCATGTATCTGGCTTGACCTTTGCAGTCCTTGCTGGAGTAGCCTGGCTGGCAAAGGTTCTAAGGAAACTTTAGGGTTCTGAATTGAAGAACCAGCAATAAGGCCTGAAGAAATGCCCGTATGAGCTAAATCCTGGGGTTTCTTTGGTACTGGCCCCGTGTGACCAGCAATAAGACTTGATGAGTGTGCAGTCTGAGTAGAATCTAGTTTTTTGGGAGTAGCCAGTGGTAACTTACTCATGATACTTGCTAGTTTTTCTTCTCTCAGTCCTGGACGAGGTTTTGTAGTTGGCACATTTAGCCTTGAGCCAACTGAGGGGCCCTTGTTCCCATTGTTGATGGCAGCTAAAGCTTCAGATACAAGATCCAGTGAAGATGAGTGGAAAGAAAGGTCTTCATCCAGGGAGTCATCGAGGCAGATGGTTTCTTGGGCTGGTGCTGAGCTAGAGCTGGCTGAGGCAATGATGGATGTACTGGAGCTCGTGGAAGGACCACCAACTGAAGCCACCAAAGATGCAGGAGCCTTTGGGTCTTTTTTCGGGCTACATTCCTAGCACAAGTATCATTATATTGGAAAAGATACAGAGAGTTAATTATAAATTTTAAACTTAGTTTTTATAAGATTAAGAAATTGAAACTCCCTAAATAGATCAGGCTGGACTTAAACATACAAAGATCCATGTGCCTCTGCCTCTTGAGTGCTGGTATTAAAGGCCTGTGTTACTGTACTGGGCCTCTTTTTTTTTAGCTAGAAATCTAGAGAAGACTACTGAAAACAAAATTGAGAAGATGGTACTCTAACCAGCTCTCCTCATAACACAGTGTGTGACACACTATGCCATTATGTCCTTGCAAGTCATCTTACCAGATCCTGAAACTGGGGCTGAAGGGCAGTGACTGAGGGAGACATCACTCGTTAACTCTACCTCCATCAAATTCAGAACTCATTTCAATCCCAGCTTCTCAGAGCTTTTATTTTTCTGGTGCTCAGCAGGGACTTTGCCTTCGTATCAAGACTTGAACTCTTGTCTAGTAAGGTTTGCTGGTGCGGGCTCTCATTCCGCTTCCTTGCATTTCTATAGCTACCGACCACCAGGATGTAGGGAAACTACTGAATTATCCAACTATATTTAAATCATATTGCTACTCATTATGATGAACATTACTTGTAATTTATCAAATATGTGTTTAGTGTCTCCTATGAGTTAAGGCTCTGTTCTAAGGAAATAAAGATATTAGTAATTAAAGTGCTAAACATCTAGGTGAATATTGTCTTGTTAACAGACTGTCTTGTATAATCTGTTAAATTAACTGTCTTGCCAGGCAGTGGTGGTACACACCTTTAATCCCAGCACTCAGATCTCTGTTAGTTTGAGGTCAGCCTGGTCTACAAAGTGAGTTCCAGAATAGCCAGAGCCATTACACAGAGAAACCCTGTCTTGAAAAACCAAAATAAATAAATAAGCAAATAAGTAAATAAATGAATAAATTTTCTTAAAATTCGAGGAAGAGTTAAGAGAATTATAGTTTTAAGTATTCAGAGTAAAAAAAACCATTAGTAAGTCAAAGAGCAACTGTTTATTTGTTGGGAGTAATATAAAGTACTAGACTAACTTTATGTTTAAGATAAAGACAAAACGACTACACAGATCAATACATCATTTCAGGGGCTCTACTAATTCCTTGGAAAGAAAAAGTCCCAAACCCAGAACCTCATATATTGATGTGTACAGCCACATCACTTACCTTCAGCATAGTGGGGAAAGAACGAACAGGAAGGGTCTTTACCATCACCTCCTAGGGTGTTACAGTAAGTAAGCTGTTAAGAATGCTTTACACTCTAACTTCCATAGCACTTGTTCTAAATCTCCATTTTGCAAACCTCACTACTGATAGAAGCATTGGTATAACCCCACTAGGGCCCCATGCTGGCTAAAATGAGAGGGTAGCACACGACACATAAGCTTGTACATATGGACAATCCAAGTATACTATTTACTCTACCATTAGATACAGGACAGGACAGAAGTGGGGCGGTAATAGCAAAGGTATTACCAATACAAAGTTTCTATTTCAGTTATTTTTGGGGAAGGCAGAGTCTCATATATCCCAGGTTAACCTCTAACTCCCTATCAAGCCAAGGATCATGCTGATCATTCAATCTTTGCTTGAACTTCTGATTCTACTGCTCTCTCTACCTCTTGAGTACTGGGATTATAGTCATACACTACCATGACTGTTTTATGTGATGTGACGGCTTCACGCATGCCAGGCAAGCACTTATCAAATGACCTATATTCATAAACCAACTATGCCTGCTTTTTAGGATATTTTTATTACATTTTCCACTTCAAATATTAATTTTGGCAGTGAAGGAATGGAGGAAGGCTCACAATACAGCTTCTCCTAAACACTGTTAAGATTATCCTATATTCCTTGTTTTGGGGCTAGGAACAGGGTGAGACAGGGTCTATGATTCCCTGAGTGGCCTGAAGTTATGTTTGAGACTGGCCTCAAACTTGCTGCAATTCTTCTGCCTCTGCCTCCAGAATGCTGGAATTACAGATATGTACCAATACACACGTCCAGGTACTTTATGTTCTAAACCAACAAACCTACCATCTATTTGTGGTGGATGCCCACTGACTCTAACCTGTACTAATAAATCCCCTTACATATTCTATATTTCAGACAGTAAGCTCTTGATTTTTTTGGTTTTGTCTGTTTATTGTTGTTTGGGGCTTTTTTTGTAGTGCTGGGTTTATGCCCAGGGCCTCTGACATGCTGAATATATGCTCTGCCTGAAATCCACCTATAGCTTTATGCCTGACTTGTGCTGTAAGTAGGTAAGATGTGGACCATTATATGGCACAGAATCTGCTTTTACCTGCTGCTCTGGGTCACTGCTAAATCAGTAAATTACTCTGCCACCTTGAGCAAGTAATGCAATTTAAACTCCTAACAAAGGGGACATTTTCAGGCAGGACAGTCTTTCTCCAATCTAGAACCTTTGGCCAAGACAGATAATTCTCTCTGCTGGTATGCAGATGCTCCCCTCCCTGTCATTAATTAAATATGTCCTTTTAGAAGCCTTCTCCACACGGGCTTCTTTTCTATCTCTGACTACTAACCCTAGAAAACCCTACCTGTCCTATTCTGAGAAGACAGTGAAAAGAAACCATAAGGCGATAGGTAGTCTCTCCAAGGGCAATGAAGGCCTCAGCAGCAGGCCACCACTTTCTTTGTATTTATAATTTTAGCTATTTTTTTGGGGGCGGGGGACAGGGTTTATCTGAGTAGCCCTAGCTGTGCTGGAACTTGTACTGCAGACCAGGCTGGCCTTGAACTTAAGAGATCTACCAGCCTCTGCCTCCCAAGTGCTAGGATTAAAGTCATATGCAACTATGCCCAGTTATTCAAATGTTATAAAGAACACTTGTTACATTTTATCTAATATTTCTTTCTTCTATTGTTTTTATTGAGCTATACATTTTTCTTTGTTCCCCTTCCTTCCTCCCCTCTTCCATGACCCCCATGCTCCCAGTTTACTCAGGACATCTTGTCCTTTTCTCCTTCCTATGGAGACCCATGTGTGTCTCTCCTAGGGTCATCTTTGTTGTCTAGGTTCTCTAGGTTGTGGACTGTAGGCTGGTTTTTCTTTGCTTTAAGTCTAAAAGCCACTGATGAGTGAGTACATATAATATTTGTCTTTCTGAGTCTGGGTTACCTTACTCAGTATGTTTTCTTCTAGATTCTTTATCCAATATTCCTATGCAGAAATAATGAATGCAAATCTCCACAGCTCCACAACAATCTACTCCTCAAATGGACTTTTATGAAGTCGAAAACAAGCAATGTAGCATAGCACCTATTAATCTTTGCTAAATATCATGTGTCTTTTCCTCTAAGAATTTATCCCAACACTCACCATTAAGGACCAACTACAGATTTGCTGGATTCTTACCTTGACTTTGGGTTTTGATGCAGGAATCACCTTTTTCTTTGCTCTAAGAGAAAAGATTAAAACAAAGGTCATTCAGGAGTAGTTATACATTAGGAATTAAAGTAGACTACCTTAATTCTTTCCACTATTTAGAAAACTCTTTGAAGGAAGTAACTACTCAGCTTGCATGGGAATAGTCAGCAATATTTTTTTTTAATTCAGATGGACTAAAAGGCCAAATAATTACTAAAGAAAGAAATATAAATAGAAAAATAAAAGCTACATGTAAGTACATAAAACATAAAATGACTCAAAACAGGTTAGCCTCAGGAGACTCATTTCAATGGATTGGTAAGAACTCACGATTTATTTGTAGGGAAACATCTTCAGGATATGGCATACTCAAATCAGGACGAGTTTTTTTTTTTTTTGTGAAAAAGTCTTTATTTTAAGAAAAAAATTTAGTTAACAAAAAATTTAACAAGTTTCACTTAGCAAAATACACCCAAAAGGAAATCACAGTCAAGGCCTCACCAATTCCTACAGTATTAGTATTGTGTCTCAATTCTCAAAACTAACTTTGAAAAAGCTTAAACTTAACCTAAAGATTTAAACGAAAATATAAACTAGAATGAACATGAGAAATGCTTCTCTTTGCATCAGGGATCTAGCACCTTTGAGTTCGCCAGAAAAGTACATGTAGGACGAGTTATTAATGACTTTTTTAAGAAAAAAATTAAGGTTTTATTAAAAATTATTTTTAATTGCAAAAATAAAAAAATTGTTAGAATGATAACAAATTAACAAATTAATTAAAAGGCAAGAAGGAAGTTTTGTGAGTTTGAGGTTACCCTGGTCTACACATAGTGAGTTCCAGGCCAGCCAGGGTTATGTAAAACAAAAACTTTGAACACTTAGGAACCAGCAGAAACACCTGTCAATATGCAGTTTCAGGAAAGCAACACTAATTTCTCCATGCCTTTTTCGGAGGAAGCCATTAGAGCATTAAGACATATTTGCTAGCCGGTGGCACATGCCTTTAATCTCAGCACTTGGAAGGCAGAAGCAGGTAGATCTCTGTGAGTTTGCAGCCTGGTCTATAAGAGCTAGCTCCAGGAGAGGCTCCAAAGCTACACAGAGAAGCCCTGTCTTGAAATTAAAAAAAAAAAAAAAAAAAGTCAAATTTACCTATCCTGTTTTCTGACTAAAAAAATAATAAAACACAAAGGTAGTAGTAACAATTGAACTATTTTTAAGAGCTGAGGAGATGATTAGGATTCAGCCCAATGGCAGAACACTTGTCTGGCATGTATAAACCTAGGCTCAGTGCCCATCACTGAGGGAGCCAGACACAGTAGCAAGCACTCACTCATGATCTCAGCTACTTGAGAAGCAGAGGAAAGAACACTTGGAGGCCAGGAGTTTAAGACCAAACTGGGCAACAAAGCAAGATCTTGTCTTAAAAGAGAAAATGAAGAATAATAACTGAAACAATAGATCTCTGATGATATATTAACAAAATGTCCTTTCTAAAAAGAAAAATATCCATTTCTTTTGTGTACATAAAAGGAGAATAAGAATTATGTAATATCACTCCAAAATGATAATCTGATAACTTAATAGAATTAAAGGTACATTGAAGTGCTTAAATCATTTATAACTCACTAACTTAATATTTCAGTAACTTCTTTTTTAAATGCTGGAAATGGAAACAAGGGCCTTAGTGCATGGTAGGTAAGTCCTGTCTACCAACTGAGCTACATTCCAGTGGATCAAAATGTACCCCCAAAGCAAACACTAACAAAACATGGCATGTTCCAGTGTATTAGGAGAATAAAGGTTCATTCTTTATATTTATTTATTTATTCATTCATTCATTTATTTTTTTGAGGCAGGGCTTCTCCGTAGCTTTTGGTTCCTGTCCTGGAACTAGCTCTTGTAGACCAGGCTGGCCTCGAACTCACAGAGATCTGCCTACCTCTGCCTCCCGAGTGCTGGGATTAAAGGCATGTGCCACCACCGCCCAGCAAGGTTCATTCTTTAATAAATTTCACTGGGCTGGGCAGGTAGCTCAGTAGAAGAGTGCTTACCTAGCATATGCTGGACCTGTGTTTAATTCCTGGTATAAACATTTTTTAAAATTTGATTTTGTGAGTGACTGTATGTGTGTGTACGGTAGAAACATGCCTTAAGGCAATACAGTGATCAGAGGGCAACTTTCAGGACTTGGTTTTCTCCTTTTACCATGGGTTTTAGGGCTCCAATTCAGATTCGCATTACAAGTGCTTTTATCCACTGAACCATCTCGCAGATCTAGAAATCTGCTTTATATTTTTACTATAGCCAGTTGTGCACAGAAGGATGAACACTGTAAGCTTGCAAGGCGGGGGGAGGGGGAGTGTTTATGGAAGTGTCCTGTAAGCTTACCTATGTCAATGGGCATTTAGTAAGTAATACTTTTGTTTTTAAAACCATAACATGAATGGGTAGTGGTGGTACAACCTTTAATCCCAACACTTAAGAGGCAGAGCCAGGTGGATCTCTAAGATCCAGGCCAGCCTGACCTACAGAGTTCAACCCTGTCTTAGAAAAACAAAAGGAAACACCCCAAAGAAGCCATAACATGAATAAAAGCACGTGTAGAAATCTAGAGCCAGCATTTACTCACGGAGCAGAGGTGAGATGATTATGTACACTCCGGCTTTCCTTAAAAAGCATTCTGGAAAAATTAGAAAGACAAAATTATTTTTTATAGCAGATAACATGGTAATTGCTTCACTTTTTGTTTTTGTTTTACATAAAAGATCTTGCTGTGTGGATCAGACTACCTTCAAACTGAGTATTATAGCTCAGGCTGACCTTGAACTCAAAATCATTAACCATTTGATTTTTACTTATTTATCAAGCAAAAGTAGTAACAACTTTATTTCTATGTATTCAGAATTTTTAACAAATCAATAGAAAAGGTTGTTTTTGTTACTTTAAGGATGATAGGTTGATAAACTATTCTCTTAAAATTTCTCCAGCCAGGCACTGTGGCACATGATTTTAATCCTAGTACTCAGGAAACAGAAGCAAGCAGATCTTTGTGAATTCAAGGTCAACACGGCCTACTTAAACTCAGCTGGCTTTGAACTCACAGAGATCTGTTTGCCTCTGTTTCCCATGTGCTGAAATTAAGAAGCATGCACCACCATGACTAGCAATTTTGTTTCTTAAAGTGGATTTCACAACATAGCCCAAGTTGACCTGGAATTCTCTGGTATAAACTTGCCTCAAACCTGCAGCCCTCTGTATATTCTCATTAGGGCTAGGTTATAAGTGTGTACCACCACATCTAGCTCTGTTCTAAATCTACCATGTGGTTCCTTTCTATCTGTTAAAAACTCCTCAAGTTTATAACCATTATCTACAGTCCTTTCTCCCTATTACTCAACTTAAAAGCAAAAAAAAAAAAAAGTTTGAATAAAAAAAAACAACAAAAAACATCTTTATACCCATCTTATTTCTAGTTCCACACGATTTGTTTTGTTAAGTGCTGATGATCTGAAATACTACACACACACACACACACACACACACACAAAATAGTTGGTTTTTTTGGGGGGGGTTGGTTTGAGATGGGGGTCCTCTTGATATACTAACGTTAAACATGTATGCTCATTTTAAATATTTCTTTTTTTTAAGAGAGAGAGAGAGAGAGGTTGAAAGTTTTTTTTTAATATTTATTTATTTATTAGGTATACAATATTCTGTCTGTGTGTATGCCTGCAGGCCAGAAGAGGGCACCAGACCCCATTACAGATGGTTGTGAGCCACCATGTAGTTGCTGGGAATTGAACTCAGGACCTTTGGAAGAGCAGGCAATGCTCTTAACCTCTGAGCTATCTCTCCAGCCCCTAAATATTTCTTTAGATTATAATTCCCCCCTTCTTTCCTCCCTCTAAACCCCCAAACATAAGTTCTTAGCAAAATCGATCTGCTGTATGTTTGTCTGCAAATATATCTTTATAACAACAAAAGTATATTTCTTACCTTGCCTGCATCCAGCCCTTAGGCCAAAGTGGCTTCACCTCTGTCTCCATGAAGGATTTAAGATAATCCTCAGCAGATTGGCTTTTATTTGGCTCTAATTCATAGCATCCCAATTTGATCTCAACAAGGTTACATAACAAAGTTCTAAACAAATTAAAAATATATACTGATATAAAAATGTGAATTGTAAAACTTAAAAAAAGATTCAAAACAGTTATTTTTGAAGCACACAAATCTGGTGGCAATAAAGAATGTTAACTGAAGTATTCAGACTATAATAAGAGAAATAAGTTCTAATATTGATCATTCACTGCACTACAATCAACTCCCATCATGAAACAATGGCCTTTGGTACCTTTCTTTAGTGACCAAAGACTGAAAGGGATAGTTGTCTCCCTGGGGTAAAGCAAGCAGACAGTTCACACAAGTATATCACATGCTTGTTCTTATGCAAACAGAATGACTTCAGTCCACTATTAGAACAGCTGATAAAATGTATTATATGAAGACCAAAGCACCAGACCCTGAGGCCATTACACTGGATTACTATTTTTGAGTATGTTTTCTTAGACACTATTCTTTGGTTGCTTCTGATCTAGTCCTCCACTTCTGGGGATTCTTATAATTTCTTTGCCTATAAATGAAGACTAAGAAAGCTCACCTAATGGTGTCATCCCAGTGGAATTTCTTTCGTGGGCCTATGACTCGTTTCCCTGGTTTCTCCTCATCATCATCTTCAGATCCATTTTTTTCCCGTTCTTCATCTGCTTGCACCCTAAAAAATGAATAACACTTTATTAAGCAGTTTTAACCCAGAATTCACGACCATATAGTCCTTAAATACTTCAGTTGCTCATCGAAATGTTTACTTGAGACAGAACAGGGGGCAGTATTTCCACATGAAGCCAGTATGAAGTGGATGAGTAAATAAGGCCCTGAAGTATAATACAGAGGTGCAAATGCTCAGCCTTTAGATCAAACTTTGTGTCCAGTCCCAACTTAGTATAATTGGTTAAGACGTGAAATGCCTTAAGCAGCATTAAATTTTAGCTTTTTTATTTTTATTTATTTATTTTTTGAGACAAGGTCTCAGCATGAAGCCTAGGCTAGCCTAGAACCTGGATCACTCTGCTGAAACCTCCTAATTGCTGTTATTATAGGTACATCTTATTATGCCTCCCTTGGCTCTTGTTTTGTTCGCATCTATACACTAACCAGACAAAGCCTTTTGCTTTTGACAGCAAAAGCAGTTGAGTGGGAAGTGACACATCACTTAGAAAATATTCGATTACATCATTTTAACTGTATACATGGTGTCTAGAGAATGAGGACTACTTAAGAACATCAACTAAGCAGGGCAGTGGTAGTGCAAACCTTTAATCCCAGAGATCGGCAAGCAAAGGCAGGTGGATCTCTGTGAGTTTGAGGCCAGCCTGGTCTATACAGCTGAATTCCAGGACAGCCAGGTCTGCACAGAAATCGTGTCTCAAAAAAAGCAAAAGGCCAAAAACAAATGACAACAAAACAAAATAAAACCAAACAAAAGACTATCAACCAAACGTCACTGTCAATTCTAAACCAGCCCAAAGCAGAGGTACATACTTGGCACACTTGGCTTGACTGCGAGCCTGGCAGTCCTCCTGGTATTTAAATAGCTGTTCGGGCATGACGTTGCTAACAGCCAACTTCAATTTTTGCAGAGGTTCCCTTAAACGATCATCCTGAAGGGGTAAATATATTTGGAGTTTTTTTTTTTTTTCAAATATAACAAAACTTACTCTATAAGCAGAACTTCAATAGGTAAAATCACATTTTACATACTGATTATATACACCTGAAATGTTATCTAACATGACATTTCTTCTACAGCCCTGACTTGTCAAGGTACACTGGAAGAAAAATTACATTGACTGTGTTTTCCACTACACCAAGCAGAGTCCCAGTTCTTGCCTGCTGCCCCAGAAACAGTGTTCCTTCACATTCTTAAGAATGAGTCCAAATTTTGGCCAATAAGTTTTATGAATGAATTATAATACAAATAGAAAATGGGACTGATATTGCCCAGACTACTGTTTAACTCCTGGTGTTGAGATATAGCCAAGGAAGACACTATTCTAAAATACTACAACACACAATCTGCTCTGGTGACTACCAACAGGATGCGGGCAACCTGTTCTCCCAGTTACTGCTAGCAATTATAACTTATGATGCAAGCAAAACTTAAATTCAAGGCCAAAAGAAAGAGGAAACTGAGAAACTCTTCTCCATATGGGTTCAGCATAGAAAGGAAAATAAGAATTTTGTATCTGACAGTTCAAGTCAGCCAACAGCATTTTCATCTTACAAATAACATATACTTAAGTGCTTAAAACCTTCATCATTGTCATAGGCCCAGAAATATCTTAATTCTTTCTTCACTAAAGCAAAAGGATTTTGCTTTTTATAATGTAGATTGAGATTCAAACATACTAAGCAAGTCTTTACTTAAGCTTTACTATACCCCCAACCCTTAACAAGTCACTACACCTTTTGATAAAAGATGTATTAGAACATAAAAATTATGACTAGAAACCTATGACATAGATACTAATTAATAAACTAAGCATGTAATGGTATCTGGAAACATGTTGTTTACTGGTTACAAAACCGAAGATCTAGGTACTATTCTTCCACTTACCTGGACATTAAGATGTAGCTTCTTTAGACGTTTTACCAGTGTTTCCTTATTACATGGCACAAATGCTTCAAGATGGGAGTAGACACCACTACGAACGACAGGGCCTAGTTCTTGTAGCTGTAACTCAATGCTGACCACAAAACAAAACAAAACACACAATAGTAAACATCATAAAATTCTTTTTTATATAGCATCTATATATAAGCCAGAAATTAGCCAGGCGGTGGTGGCACACACCTTTAATCCTAGCACCTGGTGGAGGCAGAGGCAGGCAGATCTCTGAAATCAAGGCCAGAATAGTCTGCAAAGCAGGTTCCAGGACAGTCAGGACTACATAGAGAGAAACCCTGTCTTGAAAAATAAACAAAGCAAAAACAAAAACAGAAAAGGAAGAAAGCAAACAAGTACAGGCAGGTATTTCTGAAACTACACTCCCAGAGTTCCTATAGTACTCTCCTTTAAAGTATCTGAAAAGGCAAGGCCCTTTACACCCAGCTATGTGCACATGATAATTTCCTCATCTTTGTTTTCCTTTTATGACTGTGACACAGCTGTTATTTAATAGTTTACTTAATTTATTGTAAATGATTAGTTCTCACTTCCCTTTTGGGAACAGAAAACTAAAGTTAAATCTTTATTTTGTCTAGTAGCAATTTCTTTTTGATATTTCAGCCTGACTCCATCCTAAGTTTAGAATCTTGTTACAGGGTCGAAATAAGTTCCTTCCTGTTTTCTGTAAAACTTAAATTTGAGCATGTCTTTACCCTTTTCTGGAATTTGACATGTTCCACACCTGACCTCCACCCTGATTAAGATGTTCTGCCAAATAATTTTGAGACATTCTACCAAGTTCCTATGTAACCAAAAAACCCCTTGGAAACTCCCTAGCCTTGCAGTCTTTTGGGCTATATAAAGCCCCAATTTCTCCTATGTTCAATGCTATTTTTCTCAAACCTGTCTTTAGGGAGACAGTCCTGTCTGACAGAAGTTAAAGCTTGCTTAATTTGATCAAAAAGGACACTAAGAAAGACTAACATAGATTTAATCTACATGGAAAGTAGAAAAAGACAAGGTCTGCTGAGTCAATTGGGAGCATGGGAACCTTGGGGAAGGGTTGAAGGGGAGAGGAGAGAGGCAGGGAGGGGAGCAGAGAAAAATGTTGAGCTCAATAAAAAAAAAAAAAAATTGACCAAAAAGTTTTGTTCATTGGTCTTTACTCTCATTTAGTGGGACTAACATTTTTCTCTTCTCTATCTCAATTCCTCTTTTAAAAGTAAAGCAGTGCCAGGTGGTGGTGGCACATGCCTTTAATCCCAGCACTCGGGAGGCAGAGGCAGGTGGATCTCTGTGAATTTGAGGCCTGACTGGTCTACAAGAGCTAGTTCCAGGACAGGCTCCAAAGCTACAACAAAACCCTGTCTCAAAAAATAAGAACAGAAACAAAACAACAACAACAAAAAAGTAAAGCAGTAAAGTTTGTAATAATTGCCATATTCTGGCAGAGAGAAACTAATAAATAAGGTGTCTCTCAAAATGGAAAAGATTTTATTTGGCAGCTGCTGCTGAAGAGAAATAACAACTGATGTCAGTTTGAAGGTCATTATCAAATTGGGACTCTTAGCTGGGCTTGATGATGCATATATTTAACCCTACTCGGAAAGAAGAGGCAGGGATCTCTCTGAATTCCAGGATAGCCTGGACTATGTAGGAGTTCCAGGCCAGGCAAGGATACATCGTGAGATCTTGTATCAAAACAAAACAAAACAAAACAAAAAATACAACATAGTAAAACAAATTGGGGCTCTTGACAACAAATTATGTCCAAATCACCATAGATAATTATAGGAAAATGTACAGGGACACTTAGGAAACCTTCCCATATTAAATGAATTTATCACTTCTAAAATACAGTGTAATCTCAGCTGGGCAGTAGTGGTACACACCTTTAATCCCAGCACTCGGGAGGCAGAGGCAGGTGGATCTCTATGAGTATGAGGCCAGCCTGGTCTACAAGAGCTAGTTCCAGAACAGCTAGAACTGTTACACAGAGAAATCCTGTCTCAAAAGAAAAAAAAAAAGTTAGTTGGAACTGAAGATAAAATGCAAACTTTCCAAGTACTAAGAGAAGCCACAAAAGTCTAGACTGACTCAAGGAGACAGTTTAAAAAGTTACTGGTTTCCAAAAAGGTTAACACAGACACGGGAAAACTGACTTCCTGAGGAGAAATCAACTGCTAAGTCCTCTGTATACTGCTATTCAAGTAAATGCTCACTCAAAGAGCACCAAGGAGATGGCATGGAGGTCTCTCTCATAGGAGTGTTCAGTAAACAAAATCATGCCCAGTGCAATCTGAGTGGACCAGAGGCAGTCAGAAGCTCGTTCTCTATTAGAAATGCCTGCTTCAGGGAACAGGGAAGAAAATCAAGTGAGCATATTGTATACTTGTTCATTCAGGTCAAATTCAACTATGGAAAAAAAAATGGTTAACCAAGAAATTAATCTTTTTCTCCTCAACAAAAGGAAGAAATGGTTAAGGCCAATACACCTGGATAATGTTATAGGATTACACTATTTATTACAACAGGTACTCTGTCCAGAAGAGGAAAGCATGTGCGTTTAGGGTAGAGAAAAAAAAGGCCAAAAACAATAATAAAGTGACTCTAAAGGAAAAACTTCAACTCTGTAGATGTGTGTGTGTGTGTGTGGAGAGAGAGAGAGAGAGAGAGAGAGAGAGAGAGAGAGAGAGAGAGAGACAGAGAGAGAGACAGAGACAGAGGAGATTTAGCAGTTAAGGGCACTGACCCCCTTCCAGAAGATCAGGGTTTGATTCCCAGAAACCATATGGTGCCTAACAATTGTTTGTAATTCTAATTTCAAGGGATCTGATGCTTTCTTCTGGCCTCCTTGGGCACTAGGCACATGCATGGTACAGTTACATATGTGCTGACAAAACACCCATACACATAAAGTAAAAATAAAAGCATCTAAGAAGAAACCAAAGTAGATGGGCTCCGCAACTCAGAGATTTGTTTGTGACAGACAGGGACGGAACTCTAATAGTGTGTTTACCTGTGTTGCCAGAGCACAAGGATGGGGCTCTTTCCTCTGGGGGTGGGGGGAATAGAGTGAAATGGAAAGAAAGGAGCGAGGGGAGGAGGGAGAGGAAAAAGTTCATCTAGTACAAGGGGAAAGAAAAAATGGCTAGTGAGATCAGATCATGTAATCTGGGACAACTCTGATGAGCAACAGCTGCACTGTCTGGTGCCTCTGGAGCTTAAAAGCAGTCATTAAGGGTGGCAGCACGGATGTGAAGAGTTATGCACCTCTTTCAAGCGCATGCATTCAACTGGAAATCAGGGCCCAAACAAAGAACTCTTGTGCTACTCCACGAAAAACACACTCTTCTGTTTGAGTCTACTTTTTAAGTATAACAGATTATAACTACCTATAAGTACTGAAAAAAACACCCTTTTATATCAAATATCTCTATTATCTATTTAAAAAACAGGAGTCACAGTAACACTATTTGCTTGTATCTTCCTATCTGACATTATAAAATGCCAGAGCAGACCTATCATTTTCATCATACATGTAAAATCTACTATCACATTTTGCCTAGTTCTGCCTGCATTCAACTGCATTCTTAAATCCTATAACCAACAGTTTAAACCTATGAGACATCCATTTACAAGTACAGTTTATTTGGCTACAACCTTCAAAAATGCAGCTTTATTAGTATCAAACTCTAAGTGTAAAATTGATAAACCTAAAAATCTACTCATTTAAAAATAATTCATGTCATATATGAACCTTGATCTTTTTCTCCTAATCTGATTTCTATAGGTTCCATATAAACTAACCGCCAAGATTTCTTTGATTTTTCAAGACAGTGTTTCTCTGTGTAGTCCTGGCTGTCCTGGAAATCACTTTGTAGAGCAGGCTGTCCTCAAGCTCAGAGAACGATCTGCCTTTACCTCCCAAGTGCTGGGATCAGGTGTGTGTCACCACCATGCCTGGGCTCTATGCCTGGCTCCAAGATTTCTATCTTGAACTTGTGGGGTTTAGGCCATCCTGGCCACACAGAGAGACTGGTCATGCATGGGGTCCAGGCAGCACTGGGTCCCAGGAAAAGCCATAAGATGGCACCACCTAGGAACAGACCATTCAAAGGAAATTCCTAACACTCCAGCCACTGTACATAGGATCACCTGCCAGCATATACCCATCTCTTTTCACACGGACACCCCTAGACGATAACGATAGCTTGAATTCTGCATGAAAATGGAAAGAGCTAGAAAACATTATTTTGAGTGAGGTCACAGACACAGAAAGACAATTATCACATGTACTCATTCATAGGTGGTTTTTAAACATAAAGCAAAGAAAGCCAGCCTACAAACCATAATCCTGGAGAATTTAGACAACAATGAGGACACTAAGAGAGACTTACATAGATCTAATCTACATGGGAAGTAGAAAGTAGAAAAAGACAAGATCTCCTGAGTAAATTGGGAGCATGGAAACCTTGGGGGAGGGTTGAAGGGGGGAAGGGAGCAGAGAAAAATGTAGAGCTCAATAAATACCAATTAAAAAAAATTCAAAAAACAAAAACTATTTTAAAATATTACGTGTGTGTATACATACGGTACCATGGAGTACCTAAGGAGGTCAGAGGGCAAATTGTAGACTTGGTTCTGAACTCCAACCATGTGGGTCCCAGGGATCAAACTCAGGCCATCAGATTTGGTGGGAAGCACCTTATCCATTGAGCCATCTCATTGGTTTTCATAGGTCAACTGTGTGTATGCATGTAGCATTTTTTTTTTAAGAAAAAGTTTCATATAGCCCAGACTAGTCTATAACTCTATAACTTAATATTATTCCTGAGGATGATCTTGAATTTCCTGGTCCTCCTGCCTCTATCTCTATAGTGCTGGGAAAACAGGTACCATATCCAGTAAGTTTTATGCAGTCCAGGGTAATCTGATCCAGATCTTGTAAAATAAAGGCAAGAACTATTTGAACTCTATCTTCAGCCCCTCCTAATTCACTTACTTAAACTTGTAGTTCTCTTGCCTCAACCTCTTGCTGCTGAGATTAGAGGCATACACCACCATCCTCTACAAAATTTGTATTAATGATTTGTTTATTAATTTATTTGAGATAGAGTGTCAAGTAGTCCAGGCTGGCTTTGAACCCACAATGTAGCTGAGAATGACCTTCAACTATTCATTCTTCACCTCCAAAATGCTGGAATTATAGAGGTGTACCAAACCACACTCAGTTTATCCAAATCCAAGGTTTCCAGCATGCTAAGCAAGCACTCTATCAACTAACTACAGCCTCAGCAGCCTGTAAGGTTTTTTCATTTGTACTCTTTTATTTCAAAAAACGACTTGAATTTAGGGCCTCACAAATGCTTTGCAAGTATATTATTGAGATTATTCCCACTCCAGGTTTAAAAAAAAAGATAAAAATCACTTACTCCAGAAGAATATTATTCATATCTTGTGTGAAGAATTTTTTTCTTCCTTCTTCATCAAAAAGTTTGGCAGCCTAGAAAAACATAAGAAAAACAGACAACATAATTCACAATAAACAGTTACTGACATAAATTATCTAACAACAATAGTACTACTATCAGTAGTATAGTATTTTACTATTATTTTATTTTAGCAGTAAAATACCACAAATTTTGACCCAGTCAGGCAAAGCCATTTGAGATCCAAATCAAACAGGCTATCATGTATGACTGCTGCAGTTGGTAATAACTAATACACACTTGTGGCTTGAAAAGCACTTGAACATTTAAAATCAGTGCCACTGGGCTAAAGTCAAGTGACAATAGGGCTAGGCTCTTTTTCAGAGAGAAAAAGAAAAAAAAAAAAGGCAAAGTTAGACCCAAGAAGTTTTTTTTTTTTTTTTTTTTTTTTTTTTGGTTTTTCGAGACAGGGTTTCTCTGTGGCTTTGGAGCCTGTCCTGGAACTAGCTCTTGTAGACCAGGCTGGTCTCGAACTCACAGAGATCCGCCTGCCTCTGCCTCCCGAGTGCTGGGATTAAAGGCGTGCGCCACCACCGCCCGGCCCCAAGAAGTTTTTTTTAAAAACAAAGCATACACTGAATTAGTATGGCATGATGGCACAAGGAACTAACAGTACCACTTGAGACAGCGTAGCTTTCCAAGAGCCATTTAACTAATAACCACAGGGAAATACTATCCTTAAAAAGAGAAGAATTGTGAAATGCATTAGCGCTGCCTATTTCTAGACTTAATTGTCATCAGAGGCCATGAAAAGTATAAAGCTGAAAACTGAGTGTCAATCTTGTGATAGATACAACGCTTGCCAAAATGCCTAATGTACAAAACGGACATGGCCTTTGAGTGAAATGCATAAAGATCTTCTCACTCTCATTCAAACACACACACATTTATTTATTTTAAGCCACAGGCTCCCTATGTAACCCAGGATATAGTTTGAGCTTGGCAGCCCTCCTGAATCAGATTGCAGATTATCACCCACCTAAGGATTTCTACAGAATCCTGTGATTATGTCCACTTTAAACTTTATAATCTTAAATGCTAATAATCTTAGGCAAAAATCAAACTTAATACTCAATGTCACAAATATGTATCTATCTAAACAAAAATGCCAGGCAGTAGTAGAGCCCACATTACTTTTCCTGTGCTGAGTGAAACCAGGATGCTGTACATGTTAGGTAAATTCCCAAACACTGAGCTAAGCTCTCACCCTCAAAACACAATTTGTAAAAACAAGATTATTTCTGTTTCCTATAGAATAAAGTCCTTGTTGGTAGGGTGAGTCTATAAACTTTCTAACTTTGTATTCTTCTACTCTAGTCTATACTTTATATTCATTATCATATAGAATCTGCATAAACAGCCAGAAATTGGTAGTATATCTCCTGATCTTACAAATAAGGAACTGCAAACTTACAAATAAGGAGCTGCAAAATGCCCCCAAATCAAATTGCTAGTAAGTTATGCAGCCAAGGGCTGGAGAGATGGCTCAGAGGTTAAGAGCATTGCCTGCTCTTCCAGAGGTGCTGAGTTCAATTCCCAGTGACCACATGGTGGCTCACAACCATCTGTAATGAGATATGGTGCCCTCTTCTGGCTTGCAGGCATCCACGCAGACAGAACACTGTATGTATGTGTATATATATATATATATATATATATATATATATATAAAATCAAAAAAAAAGTTATGCAGCTAAGATTTAGACTAAGGCCTTTGTAAACTGCAAAACTGCCACAGAGCAGACACTGGATGACTGCGGTAGTTTGGTTTCTACATAATTGAGAGCAATAAAAAAAATTATCAAGGAATAAGCACAAACTATAAGCTTGAAAATAACATTGTCACACAGTATTTCCTCTTAACTTGGTGACCAGAGGCAAAGAGCTTTTAACTTGGAAACTCTGCCATCACTTATGATAAATAGACTGAGGAAGTCAAAGGCACAGTTCGCATCAGGAGTCATGAGATGCACACTGGCTGGACAGAGCTGATACAAGAACTTAAGCACACCAGAGTCAAAAGTACCAAGCTATCTAAGTATTTGACATGCTTTAGATAGAAAAGGCAAATCTCCAAGAATATTTCTAGAGTGAAGATTAAGCATATTCAGAGGAAATATTCATATTCAAAGAAAGCCAGAATAAAAATGAAATCTGAGAAAAAAGGAGAAATTTAAGTGAAAAGGTTTATCATGAAAGGATACTTTCTCATTACAAAGCTATTTTTCAGAAAAACACAAATGTGTGAGCTCAGGAAAAATTTTTATCTCCTGAAGAAAAAGCACCATCTTATATTTCAAAGTAAAACACAAAGAACTCATGGGTATTATAAAAGGCTTGCTTTTGGGCCACCAACCAGCTCCCAAATCGTGTATTATTAATTATGAATGTGCAGCCTTATCTTATGCTCATTTCTAGTTAGATCTTGTAACTTAATTTAACCTATTTCTCTTCATCTAAGTTTCGCCTCAGGGCTTTTTACCTTTGTTTCATTCTGTATGTCCTACGCTGTACCTGGCTGGCTAGCAGCTGCCTGGCTAAATTTAAGCAAAGTCTGCCAAAATTGAACACAAAATATTCTATACCTCAGATAAAGGGGGTACGTGTGAGACTGGGTTTGTAGCTAATCAAACTAGCAAATGAGTTCAAGTTGAGGAGAAACCCATGACAGCTATCATGGTGGGAAAGAACTAATGCTTACTATAATTGCTGATTATAAAGTAGATCATAAAATAACTAGGGGCTCGTAATGTCACTCAGTAGTAGAACTCTCTCTTTTTTTTCCTAGATAGGTTTTTCTGTGTAGCCCTGGTTGTCCTGGAACTTGCTCTGTAGACCAGGCTGGCCTCAAACTCACAGAGATCTGCCTGCCTCTGCCTCTCAAGAACTGGGATTAAAGGCATGATATATGAAGTCGAGGACTTGATTCCTTGGAACTGCAAAAATAATTAACAAAATAAAACTACGTTAAAATAGTTTGAAGCAATCAAGTCCAAGTACACGTCCACAACACAATATTCTCTCCTTTTTCTACACTGTTTTCTTTGCATGTGTCTGCAGCTAATAAAAATTTTATTAGGAGGGACTGGAGTAGTGGCTCAGCAGTTGAGAGCATTGGTTGCTCTTACATCAGACCAAGGTTCAATTCCCAGGGCCCACACAGTGGCATGTCATTGCTGCCTATAATTCTGGTCCTCGGGGATCTCTATGGGCACCAAGAATATACCTGGTATACAGACACACATATAAGCAAAACACTTCATACACATAAAATAAATCCTAAAAAATTTTATTATGAAGTCTATATAAATGTTATTTGTAAGGTAGGGTTTGTAAAATGGATCAGTGGTAAAAGCAATTGCTACTAAGCCTTATAACCTGAGTTTGATTTCCAAAACCCACATGTTGGGAAATGAATGGATTCCTGCAAGTTGTCCTCTGACCTCCACATGTACACTATAAATTTATGGGTGCATGTGCACGCGCGCGCGCACACACACACATACACACACACAAATAACCAAATATGAAGAAAAATTTATAAGGTAAACTGAAACAACTACAGAGCTTAGAATGAGTGGTAGAGTGACCATCTAACATGCATACAACATTAGGCTCTATCCCTAGCACTAAAAGAAAAAAAAAAGCAAGTGTATAGTATAGCCATGTAAAACTGAATTTACTTAAGCCAGGTGGTAGTGGCATACACCTTTAATCCCAGCACTCAGGAGGCAGAGGCAGGTGGATCTCTGTGAGTTCAAGTCCAGCCTAGTACATAGAGTGAGTTCCAGGACAGGCTCCAAAGATACAGAGAAACTCTGTCTTGAAAAACCAAATATATATTTGGATAACATATATATTATATATTTATAACAATATATAAATATTATATATTATAATATATTAGAAGTATACATATTATCCAATGTCTGTAAGAGGCTATGGAAAATAAGTTGTTGCGACTGTGGGTTGTTTTTGTTGAACTTTATGTTTGTGCAGTGAATAAAAACCAAGAGCATCATTACACTTACTACACGAAGGTCCTCAATGCGTTTTTCAAGGAGCACAGGTAGGCCATCTGGAAGTGTAGGTACCACCTTGGGTAGAACCTGAGAGGTTAAGGTGGGTTGAGTGGTGTTTCCATTTTCTCCCCCTGACTCAGAGAGCGGGCTACCATCAGAAGCAGCATCCAGTAATCTGTCAAAGTCAAAGTCGTCTAGCATCTCGAGGGCATTCTCAGCTTCCTGAAACAATTCATGTTCATTTGTGCTAACAAAAATAGGGAGGTCTGGATCAGCACTGTTCAGACCTAAGTCCGAGATGTCATCCCCCAGGGCTGTAGCAGCACAAGAGGGCTTGGTCAGAGAGGAAGTAGTTAGGGTCACAGGGACTTTAGGGTTAGATTCCTTCTTTAATGCATCCTTCTCTTTTTGAAATTTTCGTATCATGGCAGCCAAAGAAAGGGAATCTTTATATCGCTTCTTCTTTTTTTCAGACTTGTGTGAATTGAGAGCCACAACTCTGTAAAGGAAAAAGACTGGTTAGGCTGTGTCATTTAAAAAGTTAATCCATATGTCAATGAATAAAATAATTAAAATAATCCAGTGAGAGATGGCACAACAAAATCGTCTTTATAGTTTTGTATTAGATTACACTTGCATGATAGCACCGTCTCCAACATCTTCTGGATATGTGACAGGTTTCACACAGCCTAGGCTGGCCTCAAACCCTTACATACATAGTTCAGGATGACCTTCAACTACTGCTTCAACCTCCCAAGTCCTAGAAATACACATTTGTGTCACCTCGTTTGGCTTAAACTGGTTCTTCAAGATTAAAAAATTGTAATAAACAAGATAGCCAATGAAAAATCTGTAAGTGTAACTGAAACACTAAGTCTCTAAGATGACAAAGTCTCCTGTTTATTAATAGTACCACAATATTATTAAAATGCAGTAGGTCATTATCAAATTAAACAACTAAATACATTAGTGGTGAATATATATTTCTAAAAGGAAACCATAATATTGTGATGCTAATTTCCTATCAGGCTTAATGTAGCATACCCCATTTGTTTGGGCACTTTTTTCCTTGGCTTCTTCTCTTTTTCCCCTTCCTCTTTCCGCTTCCGCTTCTTTACCTCAATATCATCTTCTTTTATTTTGGGAACCTGCAACATGATAAGAGAATATGTCATTTATCCGGATTTTTCCTCTTTGATGTTAGCAATAGAGTACAAGGCAGTGGTCTTTTACAGTGTCTGTTAGAATTACTTGGTCAAAGTCTAAGATCTTGGGGATCCATGTTTTCGTTGCTACTGTTGTATATGTGTTTAAGTGTGTGAGTACTGATGCCTGTGAAGCCAAAGGGAGAACATGGGTATCTTCTTCACTGTTCTCTATCTTATTTCAAACAGGATTCTCATTGCACATGGAGCTCACCAATTCAGCTAGACTGGTTAGTGGGCAAACCCAGATATCCTTCTGTCTGTGCCTCTTCAGCGTTTGAATTGCAGATGTGTGCCACCACGCTAGGCTTTAAATAGGCACTGGGAATCCAAATTTGGGGAGATGAGTTGAGCCATATCACCAGTCTCTCAACTGTGACTTTGATTCAGCTCACTGGGGCCTTAAGAGTTTACAGTTTAAATAAGAATTTTAATTATTCTGGTACAAATAAAGTCTCTGACCCCACAGCAGGAAACACGTATGAACAATATTCATTTCTCAGCTATAGTACAACAAAAGAAGTCATTACAAGTTAAATCTGAGGGAAGTTAAAGGCTATGAAAGGTTCTTCTATAGAAAAATCCTACTTTCTTGTTTGTTTGCCTGTTTTGTTGTCTTAAGTTATGGAGGCAAGGTCTCACTATAGCACTGTCTGGCTATGTAGACCAGGCTGACCTTGAACTCACTAAGATCCCCCTGCCTCTGCTTCTCAAATGCTGCAATTAAAGACTGTGTGTGTCTGTTTTTAAATAGTGTAGTGATCAATTCCAGGGCCTTGTACATAGGAAGTAAGCACTCTACCATTAAGCCATAGCCCCTGCCCTCACCAACATAATTTTAAACATATAATTAAACAATAATATTTTACTTTTCCTTATGTCCACAGTTGTGGCACAAATAATATTCAAAATATCTAACCTGAGGCCAAGTGTGGTGGTACATACCTTTAATTCCAGCACTCATAAGGCAGAGAAGCAGGTAATCTCTGTTAGTTTAAGGCCAGCTGTGTAATGATATTTCATTTGTAGTTTAATAAATAGGGCTTGCCTGAAGACTAGAATGCAAAACAGCCACACTAGTCAGCCATACAGTCCAGGCAGTGGCACACCTCTAATCCGAGCAGTCACACTAGTTAGTCATAGAGGTGGTGTTGCAAGCCTTTTACTCCTAGCACTAGAGAGGAGTATAAGGATGGATGGGACGGGAACTCACTCTCTTCCAGTCTGAAGATTTCATAGAGGTTAAGAGCTCTCTAGTGTCTAGTGGTTTGGCTCCTTTGCTTTGCTGATCTTCAGATTGAACCCCAATATCTGTTTCTGGTTTTTATTATTCGTGCTACAATCTTGATTTATACAGTGAGTTCCAAGATAGTCAGGGATAAAAAGAGGAAGGGGGATCTTTTTGGGGCCAACAAAATGGTTCAACAGGTAAAACTGCTCGCCATGCAAACCTGACGGCTTGAGTATAATCCCTAGAGCTCACGGTGGAAGGAGAAATCCAATTCTCAAAAGTATGGCATACATCTGCCCATACTCACACATACTCATCATATATACACATATAATAGTAATGAAAAAGGAATAATCAAAAAATATCCTGGTCTGGTGGTGTAACTTAGAAGAATAATGCTTATTTAGCATATAAGAACTCCCAGGCTCAAATTTTAGCATAGCAAAAATATAAACAAAATAAAACAAAAAGTATATAATATTAATTCTATGTTCTCCTTACTGATGAGATGTCAAACTCACCTTGGGTGGCTTGTGCTTTTGGTTATCTGTAATATCATCTTCTTCAGTATCTGACGTTTGGCGAAACTGAAGAGTGCCAGTGTTGATATAGAAGCCTCCATATTTTGTTGTTAGAGAAGCAGGGACTAATTCGTCATACTAGAGCAAAAAAAGTTTCAAATATATTCTCTTGTCTATAATTATAAAAACATGTCAAAGAATAGCATTTACTGACAATTTCCTTAAATACTAACTGCAAATGCAGCAATCCCACTACTGGGCACACTCCCAAAAGACATGAAATCAGTATGCCAAAAAAAATGTGACGCTTCTGTGCTTACAGCAGCATCATTTGCAAAAGCTAAAACACCAAGCAACCTAAGTGTCCATCAGTAAATGAATATTAAAATGTGGTATATTTATACAACAAAACATTATTTGGCATTGTAAAAGAAAGTCAGAGCTGGGCATGGTGGCATATGCCTTTAATCCCACCACTAGGGAGGTGGAGGTAGATGGATTCTCCGAGTTCAAGGTCAGCCAGGTTTATTTAGTGAGTTCCAGGACAACTAGAGCTAGAGAGCAAGACCCTGTCTTAAAGAATAAGGCCAGAAAATACTGCCACTTGCAATATGTAAAGAAATGAACCAGCACAGAGAGATCAGTATCACACACTATCCTTTGTATATGGACTCTAAATATGTTCAGTTCAAAAAGGTACAGAGTACAATGTTAGAGAGTAGAGGTTTGGGATGAGGGCAGAAAGGAATGAAGGAGATACTTGTCAATGATCTTTGTATTTCAAAATAGCTAGAAGGAGGTTTTTAATTTTTCTTACACGAAGAAACTCCATCTTGAAAAAACTAAAAAAAAAAAAAAATTGTTTGTTTTTGGCTTTTCCAGATGGGGTTTCTCTGTAGATTTGGACCTGTCCTGGAACTAGCTCTCGTAGACCAGGCTGGTCTCGAACTCATAGAGATCTGCCTGCCTGTGCCTCCTGAGTACTGGGATTAAAGGTTTATGCTACTTCCGCCCAGCTTTGTTTGTTTTTTCAAGGAGCGGGGAGCAGTCCTGGAACTTACTCTGTACACCAGGTTGGCCTTGAAATTTGTACAGAAAACTGGGTGACACTAAAGTATGTTTTCTTAATCAAATGTCAAATTAGGAATTTATTATATAAACCTAGAACCTAGGACTTCCACTCTGAGTTCCAAATAACAGTCAATATTCTAGACAGAAAATCCCAGTCTTAATTTACCAATTGCTTACAGTTTTAGTAAAGGCAACACCTCTCTACTCTAAAGGACACTGCTAATATGACTTGCTAAGATACCACAAGTGAACATGATGTACAGTGTGCATCATGTTGACAATCATTCCAATCACTCTTACCAGTTTAAACTGTCAGTTACGATCTATGCAACCAAGTACTGACTATATCACCATGTGAAACCTATACTAATTTGCGAATCATGAAATTTTAACTAGTATTTTCTGAATACCCCAAGTAATCACCGCACACTGCACAAGTTATCATAATCCTAGAGTCATGTGGGAATCCCCTCTGTGTGCTGTGATTATCGTTAATGATAAAGAAACTGTTTTGGTCCTATAGCAAGGCAGAACTTAGCTAACTGCTGGGAGGAAGAAGGGTGGAGCTAGAGAGACACCACGGAGCCCCTGCCAGACTCAGACGTGTGAAACTTGGCTCGTAAGCCAATGTCACGTCACGTGGCGATACAGAGATTAATGGAGATGGGTTAAATTAATATGTAAGAGTTAGCCAATAAGAAGCTAGAGCTAATGGGCCAAACAGTGATTTAAATAATACAGTTTCTGTGTTTTTATTTCGGGGCTGAGTGGCTGGGAACCAACAAGCGGCCTCCTGCTACACTAGAGGATATCATAATCCTAGGCATTAGAGTAATCTAATATCCAGATAAAAATGGAAGAACATAGACCTTACCAACATGACAAGCCTTAATTCATGTGCTACAAGACAGAGTAATAATAATTCTTATATGGTGTCCTAAATTCATCTTCTTTTTATAAGAGAAAATAGATGCTAGAGCCAAAGTTACAAAATTTGATCAAAACATACTGGTGATAAAGGCTGTAGCTTAAGATACCACCATTGTAGTAAGATATGCAACAATAACAAACTAAGTCTGTCTTCTAGGGATCTGCCAAAAAGACTACCTGGCTCCCATTTTACACATCATTTCAAAATATACCTCCCAAAAAAGAAATTCAGTATGTGCCCATTACTAACAAATTCTATAGCTAGCAATCTGCCTCAACCATATATTTAAACTCTATAAAATACCTAAATATACATTTAAGTAGATGAATGCAACCGAAGACAATCAACTACCACTACCGGCAAACACATATCCCTGAGAATTAAAATTACATTAATTAAAATCAGTTAAATAAGTACACATTAAAATCAGCATACCTATGCGCTAATGTATAAATACCATAAAAATGTTGAATTGCAATAAAGAATATTTAAAATACATATTATTTTTTTTTACAAAGATATACATGTTGAATGTTTATTAGATACAGAATTTCTTGACTGCAAAAGAAATTTCCTATTTACTTTCTGATGGATGACATTTGGGGAAAATTTATCTTGTACTTCATAATGATCTTGTGCTTTATTGCTGAGTTATAAGCATAACTGATTTGTTTATGTACTGTATGTTGTATATGTGTGTACGAGGGTGCACTCGCCTGTGCATGAGTGTATGGAGGCCGGAGGGATCTTCTTCAGTCTCTCTTCCTCATTTTTTTAAGACAGGGTCTCTCACTGAACCTGGAACTCACTAATTTGTTCAGACTGGCTGATTGGTGAGTCCCTGAATTTGCCTACCCAGTGCTGTGCACTGCAGTGGCTAGCTTTTATGTGGGTGCTGGAGATCCAGATTCAAGTTCTCATGCTTGCATGGGAGGCCCTTTTTCAACTGAGACATCTCCATAAATAATTCTTTTAAAAGCTAGAAAAATAAAACCAAAGAAATCACAATAACAAAAAATTTCCTGTTTAAGTCTTATATCCAGAAATGCTAATTCAATAAATCGTAGTTAGGACAAGCATATCAGGGGGCTGGAGAAATGGCTCAGTGGTTAAAAACACATATTGTTCTTAGAAAAAACCCAAATTCAATCCATGACACCCACATCAGGCAGCTCATAACTTTCTAGAACTCCAGTTTCAAAAAGCTCACACCTCACTGATCTCCTTGAGCACATACACACACATAAATAATAAAAATTTTTAAAAGTTAAAAGCATATCAATATTTTCCATCCTTGACTAAACTTAATGTAACTATTTTCAGCATTTGGTTAGAACTCTATTCCTTTTCCCATATATGTACTTATATGTGTATTAGTGACTGTGCTTATGCGTGAGAAAGTGCAGGTACTTGTGTCAGTGATGTACTCATGTGTGTCTATTGACAATGTGTGCATTTGTGCTCATGGTTTTTGTTTAGCTTTTCTTTTCTTTTCTTTTTTTTTTTTTTTTAAGTTAGTGTTTCTCTTTGTAGCCCTGGCTTGGCTATCCTGGAACTCACTCTGTAGACCAGATTGGCCTTGAACTCAGAGATCTGCTTGCCTCTGCCCCCTGAACGTGGGAATTAAAGGTGTGTGCCACCACTGCCCAGCAGTGTGCTCGTGTTCAAAAACAGGGTCCCATATATCAAACAGGTCCCAGAATGCCCTCAGTTTGCTATGTACTCAAGAATGATCTTGAGCTTCTGATTTCTCTGTGTCTACTTTACCACGCTGGGACTGCAGTGTACAACACTATGCTTTTATCCTTTTTAAAACTTTACTTCTTGCTGGGTGACAGTGGTGTACGCTTTTAATCCCAGCACTCAGGAGGCAGAGGCAGGTGAATCTCTGTGAATTACAGGACAGCCAGGACTATACAGAGAAACCCAAACTAGAAAAACCAAAGCAACCAACCAAACAAAAATTATTTCTCAGTTTGGGCAAGGAACAATGATTTCTCCAGGAATTAATGCTAACTATGCACCTGAAAATAAGCAACTATTAGTCTCAAAGATTCTCACAGGACCTGAAAACACAGAAAGCTACATGTAATGGTCTACTACTTTATTGGCAAATCAGAACTTGCTGGCCTAGCTCAGCCTAACAGTTTTGTTATCCCAACTGCCAGAAATGAATTCTGCGTTTTTTAAGTGGTAGGAAAAACATCAGATTAAGTATTTTATGATGCATGAAAATTACATGAGTTTAAATTTCACAGTCTATCAGTAAAGTTTACTTTTAACACTGCCACATTAATTCACTTATACAGTCTCTATGACTGTTCACATGCCACAGTAGGAAAATAGCTGTAACAGATACCAGATGGCCACAGTCTAAAATATTTACCACATGGTCCTTTAGAGATAGTTTGCCAAAACCTGGCCTATGATAGCAATATAGTAACAACTTACCATGAACAAGTCAACATTAAAAAATGTAAATCTATAGTACTTTTTTTAAAAAAAACTTCAAGCTATAAAAACAGCTTTAAAAGGCACAAATAAAAATATGTTGAAATATTTTAAGTTACTTTGTCTTGACTTCTACTGCCAAGAGCTTACGGCTATATTAAAGATATACTACTCACAGCCTCTGAGTTATCAATAAATGGATCTGTTTCATCATAGCCAAAGCCTATATCAATTAAATCTTGTAGCCGATCCTTCCGGTGTTTACGGGCTTTCCCACCCTGCAAAGAAGAAATAGATACATCAGATTTATTCAATACCTGTACTCTTTCCATAAATTTAAGAAAAGACCTAGTAGAAGAATTCACATTAATTTTAGTAGAGAAACCTTCTGTAGGCAACAGGGTCTCCCCACACCTTGCATGCATATTGTACTTAGTGACTGCTTCCTTGGAGTACAAGCCAGACAAAGTGGTTATATGATGGGAAATCCACTTCCTCAACCACACAGTCAGCACTAACAATGGTAAAACAAATAGATGGCATCTATCTTTGACACAGTGAAAATTACCTTCCAACTCTGTAGTCTTCCTTTCAAAAACCTGTAACCCCTTTTCAGTCATGAGGCTACAAAATAAGTGATCAGTGTTCTTCAAAGTCATCATGATTACGAAAGCCAAAGAATATATTAAAAACCAGTCACTCTTGCTGGGCACAGAGGCACACGCCTTTAATCCACATATTTGGGAGGCAGATTCAGGTGGATCTCTGTGAGTTCAAGGCAGCCTGGTCTATATAGTGAGTTCTAAGACAGATAGAGCAACCCTGTATCCAAAAAAAGTAAAGAAAAACAGCTAATCTAGATAAGCCCAAGGAGAGAACTCATTCTCAGAGTTATCCTCTGACCTCTGCTTGCCACCTGCTTGTGAAGGTGGTTCATGTGCAGACACTAAATAAAAACTAATTCTTTAAAAATAATGTTTTATCTTACATGCATGACTGTCTTGCCTGCTTATACGTATGTGCACAAGTTCATGCTTGGTTTCCTGCAGAAATCGAAGAGAACACTGGATTTCCTGAAACTGGAGTTAATTATGTGTGCTAAGATAAGAACCTAACCTGCATTCTCTGTAAGATCAACAAGGGATCTTAACTAACCACTAAGCCATGTCTCTCCAGCCCTCTTTTTTTTATTTTTTAAGACTTCTTTTTTGTTTTTATGTATGTTTGCCTGTGTGTGAATGTGTGTGTGTATGTGTATACATGTATGTATGTATGTATGCATGTGCAAGTGCCCTCAGAAGCCAGAAGAGGGCATTAGATCCTCTGGAACTGGTATTACAGAGTTGTGAGCTCCCTGATGCGGATGCTGGGAACCAAATTCAGATGCTCTGCAAGAGCACTTACATGCTCTTAGCCACTGAGCCAACTCTCCAGTTCCCAAAAATTACTCTTAAAGTTATACCTAAATGTTATATAATTATACACATAAGTACATACAGGAATATGAAAAACAAGCATGTATAGGAACTGGTAATTCAGATCAAGATCTGTTGTCTAGCCTATTCTCAAGTATGCTGTGCCAAGATCTATTCTCCAGCTTTGACGATGGCAGTTATGTGAGTATCTAGTTGGGTGATGAGCATAAGAGTTTCTTCTACTGTACTTGAAACTTGTGAACCTATAATTATATTTAAATGAAATATTTCTAAACCAAAACAAACCAATTCTTGGAGATGGCATTATTCAAGTTATACTTTACTTTAACCCCGGCTCATCACAGCATAAAGAGTTCATTATACCTCAATACAAAATTTTACTTGAACTCAAAGTTCCATATAAGCTTGGGATAAGTACTTTCAACAGGAAGCAGGCTTCCTCTGGTACCATGAACAAAAGTATGTAAGTGCTGTTTCCAAGTCTCATTTTGGATATTCACATTTACAGATTTAAATCCAACTATGATTTTTAAGCATCCCTGCACCATCTCCCCATCCTGTTTCTCTTTGTAGTCAGGGATAGAGGAAAGGAATGCACGAAAAGGAAGAAGAGGAAGATGAAACTGTTGACAAGGGCCTACACATGTTCCTTCTAAGCCACAGTGGGCTTTACAGCAAGGATGAAAGGAATATGTTCTCACAGTGTGGACTTCAATGGAAATTAAATGTTTAAAGATTGATACATTTTTTAAAAATTTATTTATATAGTGTTCTACCTACATGCCTACACACCAGAAGAGGGTACTATACTTCATTATAGATGGCTGTGAACCACCATGTGGTTGTTGGAAACTTGAGGACCTCTGGAAGAGCAGTCAGTGCTCTTAACCTCTGAGCTATCAACCCAGACCCAAGATTGATACATTTAATGCAATGTATCTTTAATAAAAACTAAATGCAAAAAAAAATGGTGCTTGAGGGAGAAAAGGGCTACATTGGAATAATGAGCAATGCCTCTAAGGCAGTGCACTCCCTTCAGGGTAACTTTCAAAGGTAATTCTAACTAAATGCTGTTGGGCATATATACTGACGCTGAAACAACTAAAACTGTTAAGCTGTAGTTAAATGATACTTTAATAATTTTGACCTCAAAGTCTGTCATTGTTCTTTTATTTTCTTTTTCTCTACCTTCCTTCTCAATCTCTCCATTTTAATTTTTTAATTTTTGCCAGAGTTGGAGTAAAACCAAGATTATTTCTGTTTCAAGAATTAGTATTTCTACTTCAAGTCTCTCTTGAGAGACTTTGTTTAAAAGTTGAGTCACACCTCCATCTTCCTTCTCATTCTGTCCGGTCTAAAAAGCTGGCCATTGTTTTGACCCAAATGTATTCAATTCCTTGGTTTGTCTCATTTCCATTAAGTTTACCATTACCACATCTAATGACTATTTAAAAAATACCACTTTTTATAATCTCCTGCCTCAGAAACAGCCTTATTACAAGACAAAAGGCTTTCTGCATGTTAACTGTGACTGCCTACCTACCTTTCTTTTATAATTTTCTGACATGAGCTTTTTGGTCCATTGAAATTCCTGTCCTAAGCGCACGTGCTCATCTTTCCTCAGGCTTTCACTGTATATGGCCTCTTACTCCTCAATGAATCATCCTGCTGCCTCTCACAGCTCAGTCTGAGTTTGAAAATTTTCTCTAGGACACTAATTAAAATCATAACCACTCTTTTCTGCTCAAAGAATACTTTCAGAGCAGGGGAAGAAAGTACAACTATGTGACAACAATTTGCCTGAAGAAATTAAATCAAGCCGGGCAGTGGTGATGCACGCCTTTAATTCCAGTCCTCGTGAGGCAGAGGCAGGTGGATCTCTTTGAGTCTGAGGCCAGCCTGGTCTACAGAGCTAGTTGCAGGACAGGCTCCAAAAGCTACAAAGAAACCCTGTCCTGAAAAACAAACAGAAAAACCAAAACCAAACAAACAAACAGAAAAAAACAAACAGCACAGTCTGTATGTGATGAGCAAATACAAAAGAACAAACATCTTATTGGTAATTAATTTAGGAGCATGTATATCAAGGTTATCAGCTTATTCCAACTAAAAATGATTGTTGTTAGTGCTCAACGGAGCAGAATCGTAGTGCTATTAAAAAGGTGTCAATTCTTTTCATTTTAAATGTGAATCTTAAAGAAGTTATCAAAAAGAATTAACTAAAGCCTTGACTATAATATTAATTTGTAATCTCACCAAAAATTCTATCTATAACAGCATCAAATGGCATAGCTATAAATCTTATCAACTATGGCATAACCATTCAATGCTATTGATCATTGAAAAACCAATATGGCAAAAGACTGTAAATACAGAGAATAAGAAAAGCAATTTGTTAAATCTTATTTACAACTCGGGTTATCCACAGAAACAGCATTAAGAATATTCATTAAACTTCTGAGGGCCAATAGTGATGGCTCAGTGGTAAAGGCATTTGCTGCCAAACCAGAAAACAAAGCTTGATCCCCAAGACCTACATAGAAAGAGAAAAAAGATAGTTTTCCTCTGACATCCACACGTGATGCGCATGTGTGTGCCCAAACACACACTGCAAAAAATACATATTTTAAATTTAAAAACAGGTAGCTGTAGAGATGGTTCAGCAGTTAAGAGCACTTATTGCTCTTGCAGAGGTTTGATTCTATCACCCACAAGGCAATTTACACACATCTCTAATTCCAGTCCCATAGCTGGAACTTGCCATGTAGCCTAGGTTGTTCTTAAAACTTGTTTTCCCTACCTCAGCATTCAAATACTAAGATTACAGGCATGTAGCATCATGTCTGTCTTGGAACAACATATTCAACAGATGCCCAAAAGGAGCATATACACTGTGAATTTAAAACATTAAAATATTACCTAAAGGAACTCATGACAGACTGGCAATGTGTCCTCTCTTCTACACATACCTATTGTGAGTCATTCTCTTTTTCAGGAGACTATTCCTGCAATACAATCAGCCTCACTCCATAATTTTCTAAATCCTTTTATACGGCGCAATTTACACATCAAGGTGACCTTATAAAAATCAGATTTGTATGGAAATAAATTCTTAAAATCTTCCATTTTGAGTCAGGGATGGGGGGCACAGGACTTTAATCCCAGTATTCAGAGACAGAAGCAGGCGGATCTCTGTCAGTCCAAGGCCAGCCTGCTCTACAAATCCAGTTCCAGGACAGCTAGGGTTGTTACACAACAAAACTTCCATTTTGCTCCATCACAAATGAAGAGCCCTCTTTAAAGCTCCTTGTCCAAGCACTCCACAATGACTCAGGCTATTACTGAGTCACTAGTACTGACTTAACCTGATAATCAGTATCTCAGGCCAATGTGCGATTACAACATTAGTAAGCTGAAACACAAACAAGACATTCCTAGCACTGGACCCCCACTGCCATTGTAACAATAAGTGACATTCACTGATCACTTATGGCAGACAGAGCAAGCAGGACATTAATTCATAAGTTTCAAGTTTTACAACCAGAAGAAAACACCCTGTTTATAATTATAGTTTCTCAACTTGTACCAAAGCCCTCTACAATTGCACCTTTTTATATCCATGCTGATTTCAACCTTCCAATAAAAAGGCATACAGTTTTTTTTTTAAAGATTTATTTAGTTATTATATATACAACATTCCATGTATGCCCGCATGCCAGAGGAGGGCGCCAGATCTCCTTATAGATGGTTGTGAGCCACCATGTGGTTGCTGGGAATTGAACTCAGGACCTTTGGAAGAGCAGCCAGTGTGCTCTTAACCACTGAGCCATCTCTCCAGCCCAGGCATACAGTTTTTAAATCAGTAGAAACAGTCAACAGTACAGAAACACTAACACACACTTTGATAACAATCACTTATAGGTGCAAGATCTTACACATGTCCTAAAACTGTTGTTTCACAATAGGTCTGCTGGGAATAAAAGATGTTGAAAATTTATTTAGCTCAAAAAGGCCATACAATAAAAATGGTTCAACAGAGTAAATGATCAGAATTAAACATTTACTGTTTCAGCATGATTTAGTTTCCCTTAAGACTGCACACCTTTAATCCCAGCACTTGAGAGGCTGAGGCAAGTCAATCTCTGCATTTGAAGCCAGCCTGGTCTACAGAGCAGTGGCAAGACAGTCAGGGCTACAAAGAGAAACTTTGTCTCGAAAAACCAATGGGAGGAGGAGATGGCTACCTTGATCCTCAAAGTTGTTTTTAAAAGGTCATTTTATGATTTTAATATACATTCAACCCTTTACAACATGGTTTGGTTCCAGGACCCCTAACAAAATCTTCAGATGTTCAAATATCCTATATAAGATGTAGTATTTATATATAACCCACTTTTATCCTGCTGTATACTTTAGCTCTAGATATTTATATAATATCCAATATAATGCGAATGGCATATAGTTATGAACCTGTATTGTTTAAGGAATAAAACTAAGAAAAAAGTCTTCACATGTAAAATACATTTCTTTTTTCCTTTTTTATTTTTTAACTATATATCCGATCTTTAGTTGGTTGAATCCATGGAGACAGAATTTCCCACACTACTGTATTTTTGTTGTTTCATTTTTGTTCTTTTTTTAATATTTATTATTTATTATGTATACAATATTCTTTCTGTGTGTATGCCTGCAGGCCAGAAGAGGGGACCAGACATCATTACAGATGATTGTGAGCCACCATGTGGTTGCTGGGAATTGAACTCAGGACCTTTGGAAGAGCAGGCAATGCTCTTAACCTCTGAACCATCTCTCCAGGCCCCTTTTGTTCTGTTTTGAAAGACAGAGTCTCTCTATGTAGCTCCGAATGTCCTGGAGCTTGTGATGTAGACCAGTTTGAACTCACAGAGAGCCACCACATCCAGTCTAGTTGCAGACCAGTGTTACTCTATACTAAATTCACCGGAATCTGTGTTTTATGAGTAGAATTCATTCTGTAATGATCTTCAAAACTTTGCCCAAACTTTTCCCAAAACTTTATCAAGCTGAGTCCTAGGGACCATGTATAAGAAAAATGGAGGAAAAACAGACCTGGGGAAGCTCCCCAAGTACCCTAACTTCTCAGGAGTTATGGCTCACCAATGAGTGATATACTTCTTAAAATGATTGCAGGTTTTTACAATATCTACTTCCACTATCATACCCAAGGGGACTGTTGAAAAGTATTTCACAATTGATTGTGTTGTGAAATCACTCAACAGAATGTATACAATTATTTAAATCAATCAATATAATTATTTTTTTATTTTTATAATATTTATATATTTTCTATTAAAATAAGAACTAATGTGTTGTTGCATATAAACAGGATATACATGACTTAAGGTAAATATAACTCAAAAAAGTTTCATAGTGATTCTCTTAAAAGGGAGGAGGGGTGATGAACTGCTACACCAAGAGAATAGTTCCCCACCGAGGAGGAGCGGAACAGGGTTAGAGCTGCAGCAGAGCTGGATGTGCTGCCTGTTCCTGACCATGTGAGACCATGGACCTCAGTCACATAACTGTGGGCTTAAAGCCTCCTTTGTTCGTCTGTGAGATACAGTAAATATTTCTTACATTATCGCCTTTTATTGTGAGATTTGTTAAGCAAACTGCCTAGATTCTAGAAGGGCTATAATGAATGCAGCCTACTAACACCATCAGTCACACCAGTAAATCTGTCTGGCTGTCAAAACCATTCATTCAGCTTCAATTTGTGAGATCAAGATAAGTAAGCAGTTGCTATTTATAGGCCCTCCCAACAAACTGCAAAAAGAAATCAGGCCAATAGGGTAAAATGACTGAGGTGAACACTATACTCACATATTTCATTTCAAACTTCTTAGCCAACATTTCCACTTCTTGCCTCTCCTTATGCTCATCATCAAATGGGTCTTCTGCATGAACAAGCTTCTTCTGATTCAAAGGAAATGGGGAAAGAAACAGAAGTATTACAACTACTTCAACTAGACTGCCATATACTAATCACATATCAACTACAGTTCAGTATAAATAAGTAGCATATCAAATAGATATTCAGTACTATATATTCTATAACTACATCCATTGTATTATTTTCCAGACTGGAATCTAGCTTTAAATTTCAATGAACATAAATAGGTTAAAAGTATTAAAAGCAATCTTTTTTTTTTTAAAATGATAGCTCACAGAAGGAAAGTATCTGCAGTTGATAGACTTACACACACTGTACAGTAAGAATTCCAACATCAAAACTGACTCCACTTGCAAAATAACCACATGATCATCCCATCCCAAATAAAGCAATCTCTCCCTAGTCCAACACAGGTAAAAATGAAAATATGAATTTTATTTTGATATTATCCCCAAGAGCTAACTGATTCAGCCATGGATAGCCCTAAAAAGGTATCCAAATTATTAGAGAATCAAGATTCATCATATGCTTACAAGTTATTACTTAAGTATCTGCAAGGGGCCCTGGCTTTCTGCTGAGACTTAGAATCAATAACTTCTTATATTGCCTGTCTCCTGTCAATGGATACCCATTCAAGGAAAAGACAAAGCTAAAAAAAAAAAAAAATGCAATAGCTGACCATGGCTTCCTACTAACAGTGTAGAATAAAACGCCATTCTAAAATACACTTTAAAACACAGACACACTCACACACTATGAGCAAGGATCCTATATTCACCAGCCACTCGCCAAAACAGATAAAACTGTATCCTTTCTTGACTTTACTATGTTTTCAAAAAAATTTTAATGTATTATTATTATTATTATTATGTGCTGCATGATGGAGGGGGTGGGGAAGTGCACACACGTGGAGGTCACAGGGCAACTTTGTGTAGTTGATTCTCTCCTTGTACCTTTCTGTGGATTCTGGGGATTGAACTCAGGTTGCCAGGCTTGCTCTGACCTGAAGTGCTGTTACAGCAGTTATGTTTTATATATATATATATATATATATATATATATATATAATTTTTTTTAAAAGGCAGAGCTACTTTTAAAGAAATACAATTTTTATCCAATTTCAGAAAATTTACTTTGAAAGTAAATTTGGTTTTGTTGTTTGCTTCTTTTGATTTTTGTTTTATTTTGTTTTGTTTTTGGTGACAGGGTCTTACTATGAAGCCTGGAATGACCTGGAACTTAGTTAGATCAGGCTAGCCTCGAACTCAGAGATCCTTCTGATTCTCTCTCCTGTGCGACTAAACTATGTACAACCATACCCCTCTCAAAGTAAATTTTAACAGGGGTTTTTGTTTGTTTTGTTTTTTAAAGACAGGGTTTCTTTGTGTGTAAGGCCTGGCTGTTCTCAAACTCACTTTGTTGACCAGATTGGCCTTGAACTCACAGAGATCCTCCTGCCTCTGCCTCCTTGGATTAAAGTCCTGAGGATTCATTTTTTTAACCTGATGAAGCAGCTTCAAATAATTAAAAGTATATTACAACCAAGACAAAGACCTGAATTTAGTACTAAGGTGTTTCATCCTAGATAGAAAGACCAATACACATAATCAGCCTAAAACAAGACAGGGAAACATGGATAAAGAGAGGTTTCATCCTTCCCAGCGTATCAAAATAAAGAGGGGGGAACTCCTTAGATTTTAAGGAGTTGATTTTAGAATTTCTAAATGTAATAATAAATATTTAGAGAATATCTTCTCCTAATTGGCATTATGAATAAAAAATATTAAAAAAACCAATTGAAAACAAACTAGCAAAGTGAGACTGGTAAGGAGTAAAACTGCTACATTGGGGGCACAGCAGTCCCCTGGCACTAATGCAAGCAGTCAGTATCTGTTGTCATAAACTATCCCCTCCCACCACTGAGTAGTTCAAATACTAGATCCTTATTATTAGTATGATCAGGATTTTATGACAGTTTTATTGAACTCAGAGCCTTTCACTTGCTGACTTATTTTATATATGCAAATACAAACACAAATTTTTACTAAGAATCACTTTTTTTAAAAAAAGATTTTTATTTTTTTATGTACATTGGGGTTTTGCCTGCATATGTGTGAGGATGACAAATCCCCAGAATGGAGTTACAGTTGTGAACTGCCATGTGAGTGCTGAGAATTGAACCTGTGTCCTTTGGAAGAGCAGCTAGTTTCCTTAAACCTTCAGCCATTTCTCTATCTCACCTTTAAATGTTATTCTAGAATTTTTTTCAAGACAGGATTTCACTACAGTCTAGACCTCAAAACTCACAATCCTGCCTCAGTATCATGAGTATACCATGCCCAGTTTAATCTAAAATATTTTGTGTTATTTTACACAGGCATTGAAATCTATCTCTTGTTTACATGTGGTCTATAAAATTAAAATAAACTCACTTCTCCTTTACCTTTAATGCCTGCAATCCAAGCACTCAGGAAGCTGAGACAAGAAGTCTGACAGAAGTTTGAGGCAAACCTGGCCTACACAGTGAGACCTTAAGTACAATCCCCCACCCCACCCCACCCCACCCCCGCCAGGTGAAACAAATTTCAAACTATCAGCTATCTATGAGTAAAATCAATGCAATGGTTTTCTCCTTTGATCTCAGTAGCATGTTCAAATCTTTCAAAGGTCTTATCCAACATATGCAAGTGACAAGCAACCGAATAGCACAGAAGTCTGTAACAGTACAGTTACATCACCATCATTATCGCTTGTTTTTCTCTTCATAGGAAATATTTAACTCATTATGTTCTCAAATAGGTGCTCAGGTTATCTGATTCTTGGTTTGCTAAGAACTGAGCTTTTTTCTCTTATGTATTTATAAAGTCCAAAACTTACTCCACAATGCACTTTCTCCAGCAATGGCGAACAAACTAATCTTTCAGGATAGGAATGATTCCAATTTCTCAGAACCACCTAAACTACCATAATTATAGCATAATACCACAAAGAGAGCAAGGAAAAGGGCTGACCTAATATGCAAGGTGATTTTGCTTTTTAGAGTTAGCCAAAATATGCTTTTCCTCATAAATACAGAAAAACTCCAACTGTATTTCCACTAATTGGGATTGCACTCTTAATTTAGCAGGTCTGAAGGGGCTTATTTAAATGCACCCCAGTACAGATGGTATTTACACAGAACATTTTCAACAGTCCACAGCTACCAACTTTCAGTTAACAAATCTTGTTCACAAACATACAGCTATTTAAAAAATCTGGAGACTTTTTCTTCTAATTCTGCTTAGCCTACTACAGGTACATTATTCACTTCCAGTAATTCAAAATTAAAATTATTTTGGAAAGATTATAACTCCAAAAATAAAATTAATCTGCGTCAGGCCTGGTGGTACAGACCAGTAATCCCAGCTACTCAGAAAGCTAAAACAGCAAGATCATGAAGTCAAGGCCAGCTTGAGCAACTTAAAATTATCTTGTCTCAAAACAAAGACCGAGGTAGACTTGGAGTCCTGTCAATGATCTAGCATATCACTGACCCTTGGCGTGATTCTCAGCATTGGAAAAATAAAAGTGAAAGACTTCCTAGAGGAGGAAATTTGGGGCTTCCCACTTTCTAGACATTCTAATGCTCTTTTGCATTCCAACTGGTCACTCTTCTAGGATTTCCCTTTATGGAGCCATCACAATTCATTTACAAAGGTGTTATTTATACATTAGTAGGTAATAAATATATCAAGTAAGACTAATCATAGGAAACAGTAGCAAACTCCTGCTACAAAAGTATACAGCATTAAAAAACAAAAGAGTAACAACCTGAAACAGAGTAACAACCTGGTCTACAGAGCAAGTTCCAGGGCAGCCAGGGATATACAGACACCCTCTCAAAAGACCAACAACAAAAAATAAAAATAAAAAATAAAATTAAAAAAAAGAAAAAACCCAACAAAACAAAAAACAAACACCAGGATAAATTCTTTTGTGGAATTACAAAAGATATATGCTTGAATATATAATGAGAAATCTGGATCACTAAATCCCTAAATTGATAATATATATGAAACAAACACAAAAATTAAGACCAATTTATCTGTCTCTTAAAACATGAAAGTATAGCCATGTACCATGCTTTCAGGTTCGGGGAAAGATCACATACACAATGATAAATACCACAGAGTCTAACTAAATAGCAGGTTAAATGGTTAAGTACCGTATAGCTAACTATATAGGTGGTTAAAACACCTAGGTTAGCTGGGCGTGGTATCCAACACCTTTGATCCCAGAACTGGGGAGGTAAAGTCAGATGGATCGAAAGTGGTAGTCCAGCCTCATCTGCAGAGTGATTTCCTGGATAAAACTGCTACACAGAGAAACCCTGTCTCAAGAAAGCAAAACTAAAGCAAGCAAACAAGAAATCCCACGCAGGTTAAGTGAACTACTTTCTACAGTGTTTGCCCACTGACAAAACACTAACTAGCATTAAGTATTTTTCCCTAAAGATGGTTTTTGTCCTGCCGTTTTGTTACACTTATTTGTGTGTGTATATGTACACCCTGCAGAGGATAATGGTTCTCTCCTTCCACCATGGGGGTCCTGGGGATGGAACTCAGGTCTTCAGGCTTGGCAGCAAGTGCCTTTACCTGCTGAGCCATTTTGTCACCCAGTTCTGGTCTTTTGAGTCAGGGTCTCACTAATGTGGCCCTGAACTCTCCATCCTTCTAACCCCAGCCTCCAGAGTGCTGAGGTCACAAACTATCAAGCCCATCTACAAAATGTTTTGAATCTGTAACTTAGAAAATTATAAAAACCAAACCCCTTATACTAACAAGTCAAATATAATTTCTTTGAAAAATGCTTCAAATTAAGACTAAAAAATGACTTTTTTTTTTTTAAAGAGCTCTGGTCGGGCAGTGGTAGCGCACTCCTTTAATCCCAGCACTTGGGAGGCAGAGGCAGGCGGATCTCTGTGAGTTCGAGGCCAGCCTGGACTACAAGAGCCAGTTCCAGGACAGGCTCCAAAGCTACAGAGAAACCCTGTCTCTTAAAAACAAAAACAAAAACAAAACAGAGCTCTGAATGGAGTCTACAGAACAAAATGTTACGTGAAAGTGATCAAAATGGTCACTACCCCCCAAATTTCATTTTGTCTGAAAACATTTAGTAATGATGGCTCCACAACAATACTTATAACTAGCCATCAAAGGATTATGATACAAAATGAACACAGGCTAATGATATTTTTTCAACGTGAGACTTTTGATTAAGAGTCCTTCATTGCAATAACAAAGATAGTTGATGAAAGATACTAATGAATTATGGAGTCCATTAGACCTGCTAGGAAGCCCAGCCTAATAAAGAGCATAGTCGCTAAACTAGAGGACAATTGTATGTCTGTCTGCCTCTGTCTCTTTCCCACCTCCTCCCTCCTAAAGATCACCAACCCACAACAATAAAAATTACAGTCACCGGCAAACCGCTGTCCTAATCCCCATTGTTCAGCGCTTTCCTCAAAGGCATACCTATGTATTTTCCTGTTTTTCTTTTTTATATAAATTCAAAGCCAACGTTTTTCCCATCATTCTCCAAAAGACCACACCGGACAAATAACCCCGATTCGAACTAATAATAACACTCAAATAATATGATTAGACAGCCACCGAGTAAGACAGGAGACCTTTCCATTCAAAGACAATATGAACAAACTCAACACACACACAAAGCTAACAATATTTACCAACACGAGTGCAACCACATTAACGAATCCACTTTTTCATTCCTAAGGTGGAATCTTTAGTTTCTGAAAATGTTTAAATTCTCTTAAATCCCCTTCAATCAAGGAAAATAAACCACCCGGCCACGAGCCCATCTCTGCAGCCCTGGCGCCCGGTACAGCTGGGTTGAGGAAGGATGAGGATGAGCCGAGAAGGGGTCACACAATCTCTCCGCTTCAGACCGGGGGGCGTGTCCCCCAAGGTTTTTTCGCTTCCCTTCTACCGGAACGACAGATGGAGTGCCACAAGAAGCTAGCCGCCCGGCTCGCGGGGCCTCGGGATTTGGTGTGGGGAACAGAAAGGAAAAGGAGGAAAAAAAAAAAGCTGAGGTTTCGAAAGGTGCAGAGGAAAACCGGCTCGGCGCGGTGTGGAAGGGGCAGCCTCGGCCACCCAGGTGGGCCGAGCCGCACAGCTCCCGCCCCGTCTAGCCGCCCGGCCCCCGCCACCCCACCCCCGGGGTGAGCGAAGTGCAGAGCAGCCCGGGCAGGCGGCCGGTCCGGAGGCACCCGGGCTGTGGGGCGGCCGGGAGGGAGGGACCCTCTGTACCCGTTGTTCTCCGCACAGCAGCAGCTCCGGGTAGCTGAACTCCACGCAGGTTTCGTCCGTGGGGTCCTTGAGCACCAGCTCCAGGCGAACCGTCTCCTTCGGCGGTCGCGGCGGCGGCTCCGCCCGGGCAGCCGAGTCCCGCGGCGGGGCGGTCTGCAGGGACAGCGGCGGCGGCGGCGGCTCGGGCCGCGGGGGCTCGCGCTGCAGCGCCATGGGCGGCTCGGCGCGGCTGACCTCGCGCTGGGGGAGAGGCTTGTCGCGCGCCGGGTGCTGCGCGTCAGCGCGGGGGGCCGACTCCGCCCGGGCCGGCTCGCGGTACGGCTGCGGCGGCTCCAGGCGGGGGGGCTCGCGCTCGGCGCCCGCGAAGTCGGCCTCGCGCCGCCTCACCGGTGACAGGCTAATGAACGCGACTCTGCGCGGCTCCGCCATCCCCACTGTTCTGGCCCTCGGCGCTCGCTCGAGCCGGCTCTCGCCTCGACCCCGCACGGCGTGCCTGCCCGCCTTTCCTTCCGCTCTCCGTCGCTTTTCTTCCCTCCAGCACCCTCAGCCGCCTCCGCGGACGCCACCGTGAGTGCGAACCGGGTCCCTGTCCCCGCTACTACGTGCTGATGAGCTCCACCGCCATCGCCAGGGTCGCCGCAGCCGCCATGTTGGGTCCCCCACATAAATAGAAGCAGGCCGCTGAGCGGGCGCATGCGCACACCGGAGACGCTCGCGTCCACAGTCGTGGCTGTTGCTCAGTTTTCCTCTTTTCCTCCCAACAGTCTGGAGTGCGGACAGCTCGGCGGAAGTGACGTCACATGTGGCCCTGTCTCCGTAGCAACGGAGACGCTATTTCTGCTTTGGCTCCGAAGGAGGGGTTTGGGGTTCCCGGAGTGATTTCCTCTGTTCGCCCGGAAACCGAGGCGCGCTCGCGGATCCCTCAGGGTGAGCGTTTCGATGTGCCTGGGAACGACCCAGACATGGCGCCGCGTCCCGCTCGTCGACGGCCTTTGGCTCTCGGCCCCGGGAAGCAGGGTTGTCAGCCGAGGACTCCGGGTGGACCCTGGAAAGGGTGAGGGACTCGCGGCCTAGCCGCGGATCCTGCCCGCCCGGTGCCCAGTCGCCGGAGGTGTCCAGGGTAGAAAGGCAAAGACTAGACTCGCCCCAGACCCCACCCGCGGGCGCCACGCTGCCTCCCACACCGCCGCCGCCTACACTTCTCCCCAGCCGCTTTGCGCACGGCGGGGAGACTCTCGGTGACGCGCAGCGGTTGGGAAATTGAACTGGCAAACGAACAGTTCGTGAAGACTTGAACGTCTTAGCAGGGTTTGTTGTTATTTTAGGAGACTCGTTCTCGGGGGGAGGTGGATGACGACTTTGAGGCTCATTTCTGAGTGAGAAGGAGCGCTGATTAGGCTTCGCTGTTATGCCCATGGGAACCGAATTGTGATTCGGATTTTAAAGGATGAGAATTACTGACCGTTTTAATCTATTCAGTAGAAAGTGAATTTGAAGACTTGTTTTCCACATCCTCAAGGAAACCCAAGCTTGTTAATTGCCTTAGCTGTATTAGATGTTGAGGAGCTGAGTCAAAGTGACATCATTTTTTTAACAGGCTGGTATTGACTCAGAATTCTGTTCCTTTCCAAAGATGCGCCATTTGATGATGGAATGTTCACCCCAAAAGTTCCTCCTCGTTCAATACAGGCGTGGAGGCACAGGAAGAGGCAGGCTGTGCGACTTCAACACAGTCTACATAACCAGCTCCAGCCCAACTAGCACCTCTTTTTGGTTTTTGCTGGCAGGGTTTCTCTGTGTAACAGTCCTGGCTGTCCTGGAACTCACTCTGTAGACCAGGCTGGCCTCGAACTCACTGAGATTCACCTGCCTCTGCCTCCCAAATGCTTAAAAGTGTGTGGCACTCCAGACTCAGGTGGATCTCTATGATACAAGGCCAGCCTAGTGGACTTAGTGAGTTCCACGCCAGCCAGAGCTGGGAGACTTTGTCTGAAAAGGAGGAGGAAGAAAAAAAGGAAAAAAGAAACAATCTCTTCTAGCTCTAAAATGCTGTATTAATTCCTTGACACCATGCTTTACCTACAACATTCCTTCCGCCACCACCCCCAATTTTGATTGAGATCTCTTCTTTTGGACTGAGGCACTTAAATGACCTTTCTGTCCCCAGACTCTATTTCTGCCAGTCTTACAATAGGGCAATTAATGTTTCCGAAACACTTTTTGTTGTATCACTCTATATTCCAGCTCCAATTGAGCTGCAAAGTGAACTCTATACCTGTGTTCAGTAGCTACAATTTATCCCAGAGCTTTGGGTCAGTCTGTCCTTGAGCCAGCTCTTCTGTGTGTATACTGTTCATCCAACTTTATCATCTGCTGGGTGCTTTCCTGGTCCACAGTAAGAAATAGATTCTAAGCCTTGACATAAACACTAAAACCAGCACTCAGGAGGCAGAGGCAGGCAGATCTCTGTGAGTTTGAGGCCAGCCTGATCTACAGAACAAGTCCCAGGACAGTCAAAGTTGACTGTCTCAAAAATCAAAGCAGAAAGTTAGTTCTTTGTAACCCAATGTCCACATCCACACAGCTGACGTGCAGTGTGCCTTCCTGTGAGGCACAGAATAGAAACAGTGATGGAGGTCAAAGGACGATTTGTGGAGCCTGTTCTCTCCTTGCAGGTGGCCAGACTCGCATAGCAAGTGCCTGTATCTAATGAGTCATCTTGTTGACCTAGAATTATCTACATGCTAATTTCTAGTATTGAAGATACTTTCTTACACAGAGTAATAATTATATAAAACTGGTTTGCTACATATATCTAGCATAACAGTGTTCTGCACCTTTTCATTCTAAATGTTCTATAGTAATAGTTTAGATTGTAACATCACCAAGAACAAGTTTTTTTTTGTTTGGTTGGTTTGGTTTTTCAAGACAGGATTTTTCTGTGTAACCCTGGCTGTCCTGGAACTAGCTCTATAGGTCAGATTGGCCTCAAACTCCCAGAGATCCCCTTGCCTGTGCCTCCTCAGCGCTGGAATTAAAGGCGTGTGCCACCTCTACCCAGCCCCAAGAACAAGTTTTTGATTTATTAGCTTATTTGTCAAAAAGTATATGTGCCACACCCACCATATCCACCAGTGCTGGATAAAGAAGTTGTTCTTATTTTGTTTTTCTCTTTGAAACAAGGTCTCACTATGTAAACCAGGCTGGCCTTGAACTTAGAGACCCTTCTGCCTTTGCCCCCCCTAGTGTTGGGAATTAAAGGTGTGCAACAGTATGCCTGGCTGGTTTTCAAACCTTAATATAAGATCCATTTTTCTGCCGGGCGGTGGTGGCGCATGCCTTTAATCCCAGCACTTGGGAGGCAGAGGCAGGCAGATCTCTGTGAGTTCGAGGCCAGCCTTGTCTACAAGAGCTAGTTCCAGGACAGGCACAAAAAACTACAGAAAAACCCTGTCTCGAAAATCCAAAAAAAAAAAAAAAATCCATTTTTCTTTTCCTACATCAGAAGGCAATTAATACTCTTTCCCTAAGATTTGCATTAACTGAGTTATGCCATTAACTTTACATTTTAAGGTCATATGTAAAGGGCTTATTGACTGTATAAAAGGACTTATTGAAACCATTCTAGTGAAGTTTCAGGTGTTTTGCTTTCAAAGTCATATAGCTAACACTGTCCCTGAACTCCTGACCTTTCCAATTCATCTCAAGTTAGTCAGTTATTATATGTCCCTTCACATCCAGCTATCTTAGGAATTTTGAAAGTATTAAGCTTCACCAAGTAGTCACACCTTCAATCTCAGAATTTGGGAGGCAGAGGCAGTAAGATCTCTGAGTTCGAGGCCACTCTGATTTACAAAATGTGTTCCAGGATTGCCAGAGGTACACAGAGAAAACCTGTCTTGGAAAATGTGATATTTTGTGTTTTAACAAATAAAGCTTCCCTGAAGATCAGAGAGTGAAGAGCTAAACCACTAGAGGCCAGGCAATGGTGGCCATACCTTTAATCCCAGCACTAGGGAGGAGGAGACAGGAGCTAAGTGCAGTCCGAGGTTTTGTGGAGATGGTTGCAGTGTGCACTCTAAGGAAGCAGCCTGAGGACAGGATCGCCCTTCTGGTCTGAGGATTCGGGAAAGGTAAAAGGTCTCTCTGCTTCTCTTACCTTTCAGCTTTCACCCCCTAATATCTCACTCCAGGTTTTTATTATTAAGACCAGTTAGAATTCATGCTACAGTGGGGGGAAAAAGTATTAAACTTCCACAACTATGCACATTTCTATATCTTTTCACTTTCCTATTTCTCCCCTCTTCCTCTTGCTCCCTCTTTTCCTCCCTCACCCCTTCTTTCTCCAGGGTCTCACTATGTAGTTCTGGGTGTCCTGGAACTCACTATGCAGACCAGATTAGCTTCTAATTCACAGAAACCCACTGGGATTCAAGGGATGCACCACTATGCCTGGCTTCTATTCCTTTTTCTAATAACACATACTCTTTGAGAGTATTTTATTGTATCTTGAATAACATCATGACTTTATATTCAAATATATAATTATGTATTATATTGATGACATCCTTTTCCTAAAAACATAGAAGGTCCCCCCCCCCCCGAAACTCAATAGAGAATTCTGAGTGTTTTGTCAACAAACAACATTCTCTCTGCTTAATTGTGATCATGTAAAATTAGACTGTCTGTCCCATGAATGAGCCCAGGATTTGCCTTTCATGGAGCCATGCATACCCTCATGCCCCACACCCTGGTCTTAGCAGTTGTACTGTTAAGTTCTAAATAAAACCTGGTGTGGTGTGTGCTGATGTTTTCTCCTTAATTCTATTGTGGTTTGCTTTATTTGTTCTTAAATGATGCTTGTAACCCTCAGAATCAGCTCCTGAACCCTCTAGTTGGTTGCAGTTTTGAAGTTGAAGTAAATCCACAACTTAACAGAGACTGAACAGGTCAGGAAAATGTAATTTTGCTCCTAGGGACTAGAGATAGACAATAGATAAATACACAATCTCGAGAGAACTTAGAAAACCCTAAATGATGTAGTTGAAAATTGAAAAAATAAGGGCCTTTCAAGAGGCTAGAAAGAGGTATCGGCAGTTCCTAGTGAGTGGCAAGTCAGTGTTTTACATAGTTAAACCATATACTATTGTAGTGATATTTTGTTTGTAGTCCAACAGATAAAGGTTGTCTGAAGATCATCCACTAATTAGCCATAGAAGCCAGGCAGTGGTGGCACACACCTTTAATCCCAGTACTCAAGAGACAGGCAGACAGATCTTCGTGAGTTCAAGACCACCCTGGACTACAATAGATTGATCCATTCTGAAAGAAAAACAGAACTAGGTGGTGGTGGCTCACACTTTTAATCCCAGCACCAGGGAGATGGATACAGGAAGTTATATGGCTGGGCAGAGAGAGGAGTATAAAGTGAGAGGAAACAAGCCCAGATGCAGGCTGAGGATGCAATCTTGAGATGCAGTCTGAGGATTTATGGAGACAGGATTACCCCTTCAGTCTGAGAATTGGTAGAGGTAAGAATTCTCTAGTAGCTCTGCTTTTCTGATCTTCAGCATTAACTCCTATATCTGACTCTGAGTTTTATTATTAATACCAATTAGAATTCATGCTACATACTGTAAAGTCAGATTATTCTTTATTTTTATTTTATTATTTTTTTGGGAAAGGAGTTTGGAGACAGGGTTTCTCTGTGAAACAATCCTGGCAGCCTGGAACGAACTTTGTATACCAG